GGGGAGGGGGGGGGGGGGGGGGGGTTGCCACCCACGAGTTTTTATCCCGTGGTATCATGTGAATGATTCACACTTATCACGTGCATGATTCTCACATTACACGGGTGCATCTGCAGTCGACGAGAAACCAACGAGCGGTCTTCGTCACAAAGCGTCTCGACCCCCCAAAACAAGACCAAACCTCTTGCTGACACGGACGACTCTACCCCTCTGCCGTCCTCAAAACAAAAACAAGCGTACCCGCCGTCACGGGGCACGCACACCCATGCACTAGTCACTCACCCAGTGCAGGAGCAACGACCCCACGAGGTGCTGCGCCATGAAGCGGGCCCTCGCTTCGCCGGTGCACCCGAACAACGGTAGGGTCGTGGCGTCCAGACAAACCCCCAACAGCAGGGGCAGCAGTAGCATCTTGAGGGAGAGCAGGAGCCCCACCTAAACAGAATTGTTTCAACGGCCCGGCCGCCGCAAATCATTGCCAGGGGGAACAGAACCAGTCAAGCCGGGGTGAGAGGGATTGGGGGGGCGGGGATACCGTGGATTCCGAGGGTGGTACGCGGAGTGTGAACACGTGGATTAGCAGCCGCCTCCACCCCTTTACTCCCGTTCATCCGTGGAAGTGTGTCTCCCTCTCTTTCGGCACGGCACATAGATGTCGCCCGCCCGATCTAACGATCGCCGCAACACAAACGAACAAAAAAACACGGCGAACACACCTTGACCACGGCGGCAATAACCCTCATGGCCTTCTTGGCGCGCAGCAGGATCTGCGTGTTGGTTCGGTTGGAGATGGCGTTGATGATGCCCCTCCACATGAAGACCATCGACGACATGACCATGTACCCGAGGCAGATGGTCGCCAGGTCCGGGAGCCTGAGTGTGTTCTCCTGCTCCTCGGAGGAGGTCGCCAGCTCGTACCATCCCTTTGGGTCACCCACGGAGAGGGGGGGGGGGGGGAGGGTGATCAGGAAAACGACGCCCTCGCATCCAACCCCAAGCATGCGCCTTACGACGCCGTTACTTGTGCGTAAAATACACGTACAAGGGCGTACTGGGTGGTGGAGGCATCTCATTGGGCATCACTGCTGTATGCCTGCCTTCCTGCCTCTCTCTTTCTCTCTCTCTCTCTCCGTCTGTCTCTCACGCCCAAAACATGATTCTACCTGTACGGCATACTTGCGGGCTAACAACTCCGTTTTTCCTCTTCCGTAGATGAAAAAATTTTGGAAATTTGCTTTTATTTATCATACCTGCACGACATCCCTGAGGGCCAGGTACAACTCCGACCGGCCGCCGAGGCTGGAGAGCACGTGAGGGTCCAGGTACTTGGAGACGGCGTGAGTCACACTGGAGGCGACAAGAACAACAACGAACGGAAGCAAAGGATCTAAGGTAATCGTGACGACCGCCTGTAACCCACGGCAGATAGGCCGGCGGCGGCGGCGGCGGCGGCGGCGGCGGCGACTGTGGCAGCCCCCGCGGCGCCTACGACTGCGCCTAAAGTGAACCATCCGCCAGCAACGCTAACAGTTTGTGCACAGAAGAGATAACATGACACAAACACGAAGAATTTCACGTGACGCACACACCGGATGGACCGGACCACGTGGAACAGGCACGCCGCACGAGCCGTGCTTCATTGCAAGACCGGCGCGACACCCGAAACAAAACAAAAAAAAACGCGGCAAGCATGTACACCCCACCCAATAAGCCAAGACACAACAAACCTTGCGCCGATCGAGAACGGGAAGAAGGCGAACAGCCCGAGGTACGCCCCGTGAAACGCCAGCAGCCACAGCACGTTCCTGAGCAGCATGGTCACAGGACCCCGGATCCCCAGCAGCTCGTCGATCGCCATGTGCACGTCCATGTCCCCGTCGAGGAACTCGTCGTTCAGGTCGTCTTCCGGTTCCTCTTCCTCGTCCGCCGCCAGCGGGACCCTCGGCACCTGCCCGACCCCCGCTCCCGCTCCCGCCGCCGCCGGCTCGGCGTTCTCCGGCGGCGGTAGCGGCGGCGTCGGCGGTCTAGGGGGTGCGACACCTCCGTCGCCACCTCCGTTTCCTCCTCCTCCTCCTCCTCCTCCGTCCGCCCTTACCCTCGGCTCGGCGTTGTTCGCACCCGCCCGGAGAGCAGCAGCAGCGGCGGCGGCGGCGGCGGCGTCGTTGTGGTCGTCTTCCTAGTCTATTTTCGGCATCGGCGCCACCGCCGCCGCCGCCGTTGCACCCACGGCTCCTGCTTTCGCGCGCGCTTCAGCCGCCGCTGCCGCCGCCGCCGCTGCCGGTCCTCTCGAGGACCTCACCCTTGTGGCCGCTCCATCTACGCGTCCGAGACTGTGCTGCTCGCCCTTGGCCTCCTCCCTGGTCGTCCGCGCGGCGATCCGTGCGCCCGCAGGATCAGAGGCAGCAGGATCAGCAGGATCAGAGGCAGCAGCAGCAGCAGCAGCAGCAGCAGCAGCAGCAGCAGCACTGGCGACATCCTTGCCCGATGCCGCGTCACCGTCCTCGATGCGGACCTTTCTGGGCGGGGTCGGCGGTCTGTACTTGAGCCCCAGGAACGTGTCGCCCGGCGCCGCTTCCTCCTCCTCGCCTTCCTCGTCGTCGGTGTCGTAGGCCATCGGGTCTACGTTCCGGCGGAAACGGGGCTGCGCAAGATTCTGCCGCTCCGCCGCCGCCGCTGATTCTGCCAATTCGGGTACCGATACGCGCTCGCCTTCCCTCGGGATATTTCTCTCTTCGGTTGCCAACCCCTCCGCCTTTACGCCACCATGAGCACCACCGCCGCCGCCCCCACCACCTGTGCTGTTGCTGCCAATTCGGCGATCGTGATCGTCGGCATCGCGAGCAGAACCGTCAGCAGGGTGGGCCGGCGAACCCCCCCCGCTCTCCGCCTCCCGCGGTGCCGCTGGCCTTCGCTCCTCTATCGCAGCCAAAGCCTCGCCTTGATGGGCCTCGCCGACCCCGCGGTTGTCCGGGCGACCGCCACCGGCCGGGGGTTCCGCCGCTCTCGCCCCGCGCCCGGCGGCGGCGGCGGCAGCGGCAGGCGCAACGACATCTCCAACCCCTCCAACCCCGCCCCCCCCGTGGCCGTGATTTGCTCTGCGATCAGGTGCGTGCCCAGGCAGTGGCCCCAGCTGTTGTGGTTCCTGCGGTGGCGGCGGTACCCGATCGTGGACCTGATTGTTGTTGTTGTCTATGCGAAGGTCGTCCATTGCTTCCGCCATTGCCTCGACTAGGTTCATCCCGTCCAGACCGATGCCTCCGAAGTCGTCCCTTCTCAAGAGAAGCGGGAAAAAAAGGCACACCGCGCGCGGAAGGGGGAGGTTGGGACAAACGAGAAAAAATCAGAGAAGTTGAATGTGGAGGAGGAGAAATCCGGAGCACCGCCGGATGGATCATCGCTCTTGGCACCGCTGCCGCGGAACGCAGTCCGATGTGATGGGGTGATGAGCGAACACAAGACATGCTGCAAGGATGAGTACGCTTTGCGAAAGACTCCGCCCGCTGCGTCTCCTACTCCCCTCCATTGCCAGACTAGCGTTTGCATGCTTGGCCTTAGAACCCCTCCTCCCGTGTTTACAAAAACGGTCAGTACCACACGCAGCAAATTGACTCTCGGCGGGATGGGCCGCAACCAGGGTACCGCATAGGTTTTTCAGGAGGCTCTTCGATACAAAGACACAAGTGCCACTTTCTCGCGGAGCAAACCAACAACTTCAGCCAACACGGACGGGCCGGCGTACAGAGGTCCATTCACAGCACAAGAGGCTTTTCCACACAAACACAAAGAAGGTGAGACAAACATGCAAGAGAAGAACAGCCGCCCACACCTGAGGAGCTGGTCGGCGAGGAAGTCCGCGAAGGTCATCAAGGAGAGGAAAGACAGGATGATAGCTGCCGTGACGATGATGCCGGAGATGCAGTCGCTCCAGATGCACGCCATGTTCAGCCGCTGGAGGAACAGCTGCGGCAGCAGTACTCTCGTCCGGTGGATCCATATCCGGTACCTGAGTTTCGCGCCCGGGCGATTATTAACACCACACCACAGCGCACCAACGGGGGAACGTTCACGCCGCGCCGAAGAGTACCCAAACAATATGAGCAAGACGGCGGACGCGACAAAAAAACAAGAAAGGTTGGCAAGCAATAGGTACATGGCAGCAACGAAGAGGAGAGTTTGAGCTTCTTGTTGTGCAACGCCTCCAAGAGGCTGCTTGCCACCTCAGTCTTCTTCTTGAAGCGCGCTTGACTCATCGTGCACGATCGCGCCCCACTAACACCCCCCCCTACCCTTTCCCGCAGCCGACGGGCACACCACCGTACTCACAGCCAGCTGGTGCACACGGGTACGAAGAGCAGCCACAGCCCCGCCACCATCAGCACCCGGAGGCAAAGCGGCAGCCACTTCACCATCACCTTCCTCCCGCACGTGGTCAGCACCTGAGGCGATGGCGTTTTCGTCCGTTTAGTTTGCAATTCGCTTCGACACAGGACGGAAACAAACAGCCCGCGCGCGATGCACGACGTCTGCCGCAAGTTTGACGAGATCGGAACATGCCGGTGTACGCTTCTTGCAGCGCCCATCTGCCCGAACCTGTTCACTGCTATACTCTCACTGGTTGGACGCTCCTGCGGTCTCTTGCTACAATACTCCTAGACTACAGCAGTGCTCGGAGCTAACACTCAAGGGAGACAAGGCCATCGACATACCGTAACGGTTCATCTTGCGTGGGTTGCAACGATGTGTGCAACTTCATGTCCAAGCATGAACCACCATAGGATATGTACGGAATAGGTCGTTTGCCCGCGTCTTACTGAGCCAGTCGCACGAGGTGTGCACGTAAACGATTCAAACACTTGCAAGCCGAAATAGGACAAGGCGGCATTCCTGGGATACCCTTCCCACACAAACCCGCAAGTCTGCGAGCTAGGCCAACACCATGTGTTTTACAATGCCGGGGAGGGAATCGGAACAGATGGGAAGGAATTGGTCAATTGGTTGCAGACATCGGCCCGCTCCAGAACGAGAAATGAGCGGAACGCCAACAATGGGGGGGGGGGGGGGGGGTGAACTACACGCACCTGATACAGTGGCACACGCTGCGGAGCGCCTGCGTCGTACACGGGGGTGAAGCGGAAGAGCGCCCCGCACAGCTCGCATGTGTCCTTCCCGCTGTGCTGGAGCCACTCCAGCAGGCAGTCCTCGTGGGTGTGCCTTTCGTGTCATGCAGCATACATACCAAAAACGGATTCGATATTTGTACCCGTTTTTCGTGGCGCAATTGAGGCGTGTGCGTCAACGCTGCCACGTGTGTTGCCTACATGCCACTTTTTCGTGTGCAAGTTGGTGATGTGGGGAATATTAACCGCGCCAAAGCGTGATGTTTTCCCCAGAAGACAGCTTGAGGACAGATAAGGGTACTCCATGCGAAAAGCCGTCAAGAAGGAACGCACAACAAAAATGGAGCGTGACTAGACCTGTTAGCGCAAGGCCAAGGGGTGCAATTCCTTCGTGGCGAAGATCGGGTGGCGAGGCACGCCCGCACTCAAAACTGCCTCAATTAGTGCGCAAGCAAGCCCCGCCGGCGTTTTCTTTTTCGGTTGGAGAAGTCTTTGTCCCTTCACTATTTCGATGTGTATTGTGTGCCCATCCACCCTTGCACACATCCGCTGAGGTTCAGCTTTTCCGTTCGGACTAAATTTACGCCACCGTTGATTGCAACGCACCGACCGGAGCATGGCTCGCCCCCACCTGACTTCACGATTAATGCGACTACGTCTGAGCCGAGCCAGGCAAGACACGAGCGAGAGAGACCCCTTTTCGCCTCTTACATGATGGACCCGCTGCAGAGGCACGGCGCGTAAAGGCGTCGTCCGGGTTCCGGCTCTCCCCGGCATACGCGACATTCCGGCGGCTCCTGTTCGCGGCACGCAACAAGAAGCAGGGCGAAAAAAAAACAAATAAAGAAAAAAAATAAATAATAAATAAATAAACCCGGGTGTGTCGTCTGAGCGCCTGTATTAAGAAGACATATACTGCTGTAACACCACCGCCTGCTCCTGCTGCTGCTGTGTGGGTGTTCCTGTCGTCGGCACCGACCGACCTCGCTAACCGGCTTAGTAGCGCTAAACAGAAGACGTCGGAAGTGTGCCAGCAGGTGATTCAAAAGGGAACCATGTACTTCTTGTAGTACCTTGCCAAGCTCCCCACCTCTACATAAATATAATAGTTGGGTTTTGACGTTTTCAGGGATATAAAGTTTGGGCTTGGGGTCGATAGTGGGAAGTGGAGGCAAAGGGTTGAAAAATCGCACCACTTCTCTGCACATCAGTGTGTTCAAGTTTCTCGCGAACGACAATATATTTAACCAACATATCCTGCCTGGAGTCATAATTTACTTCGAAACTTGACGGCTGCCGTAATCACACGGCACGATGGGTGCACTGCAGGGTAAAAACCGTGAACACGCTCTCTTTTGTCCGTGAACTGCGTGTAGTGTGTGTGCGTGTCATACCGAGCGTGCATCAGCGAGAAGAGGACATTCTGCATCATCGCGCTAGCAAGCTGTCATGACTGGCCGAGCAAAGGGAAACGGCGGGCAGGCGCGGAGCCTGAGAGCCTTGTGCCAAGAGCTCATTCGTTCTTCTAAAATGTGTGCCGGGCTAGATAATATTACACCGAAACAACGATCGCCATAAAAAATAAAAGCATCTTCCGACGGGCAACTCTGTTATCGCTGCTAGTCAGACAGAGCACGACGACGCTGTATAGGGGAGGCAACGGGCTTTTTGGATTGAAAACACGCACGGGGGAGGAACGGGTTGGTTATTCCGAACCCGCAAGCAATCGATGTGTTCAGAAAACTGCAACAAACCACGCTGTGTGCGGGACAACAAAATGCCCTTACTGCTGTAATTCCAATACATCTCAACCCCCCTCATTCCCCACCCCTCTTCTCACATCTTCGCTTGGGGAAGGGCCATGGGCATCCTCTGCTGATGGTGATGCACCCCCACCCCCCCCTCCTCCTCCTCCGGCCGCTCTCTGGTGTGGGGGTTGATCCCCGTCGATAAGTAAATCTAGACGTCCGCTCAGCGTCCTCACTAGCTCGTTTAGCGTCCGCTGGTCCTCGCCCTCAAATTCCATGTTCGCATGCGGTAAATTGAGCAGATGGAGTGTTCTTCCTATCCAAACACCCACCGTGGCGGGGGGTAACCCTGCACCTCTACGGGCCGCGCTGCTTGTACTTGTTGTGTCCGCCTCGCGAGGCTTGTGTCGGGTGTCGGGCTCGGCGCTCGCTTTCCCCGGTGGGGCTCCGTCCGTGTTTGCGTAGTGGGTGAGAAGTTAACATCCTTTGCGAGCCCCCCCCATGAAATCCCTCCGCACGCGCCAGCACCACTTGCACTGCAACAGCACCTCAATCCCTGCCTACCCGCGCGCAGCAGTGACTCATGGTGAGGTTCATTGATTGATGGTTTCACCCTGATTGTACATGTTGCTGGAATTCTTGTGAGGGGTGCCATGCAAGTCGCTTGGGCACCCCCATTGCATCCCCATTGCATCGACGCTTGAAGGCAAAGAAAATAAAGTGTCAGTGTCCATCTACAGAATAGAAGTAGATATATTTATCTGCTGCTGTACATTCCAAACGAGGTACGCAGCCAGTGGCAGGTCTTCTCTGTGTATACATAAATTAATAGTTGTACCGGGTGGCATTGTTTGAACGTTCTTCGTTTTGGTACCCCATAGACTACATATAGCTGCCCGAGGAGTCATACATCGCCATCTACACTATCATACGCTGATTGCACCACCGGCACTCTTCATCATATGTGGTCACCCCGGGTCCCCGGGTGGATTCAGCCCGAAACGTACTCTGTACAGTAGTCTAGACACATGATTGTAGCAGTTGTAGCATAGCAGGTTGGAGTTCGATGCTCTCTCTTTTTAATGGTCAACGAGGGAAATGGACGGCTGAACGTTCTCACCACAGAAAACTAAACGCATCCCAGGAGGTGGGCATACAAAACAGGCGACTATTCGTGCTTCTCGGCGCGCAGCTTCCTCTCGTGGCGGGGAAGGTTTTTTCATGGTTCCTTCTCAGGCACGCAGGGAGCTCGTCGGTGAATTTACGCGCGTACCCGATGACTGCCAGGCATCCGTGGCACGTGCAATCGGCGCCCACAGTCGCCCCGACTCTCTCTACGCGGGGAGGCATTCCTAACCAAAAGCCTTCGCAAGAAATACTGACTGTTTTTCATGAACAGGAAGGAAGACGTTTGGCTCCTGCACGACGCACACGCGTGTTCCCACACTCCATGAGCAACAGATCTTACGCAGCGGGCTACAGCAGTAGGATCTGCGGCAAATATACCGCTAGCCTTCAAAGCACACCTTCACTCCCCATGTGTCTATTGGACCAGTACGGACATTAGAATGTACTGAGCGGAGACCGGAACGGTTATAAGTGTGAAGACAAAAAAAAAAAAAAATGACGCAAATTATTCAGGTTGTGCGGAAAACGGCACTACCGAACGTTCAGATGCAACGACGCAACCGTGATGACATTGGACATGTCCTTATGGGTCGCCCCCAGGAGGCAAGCCACGTTGCTCCCGAACGGGAGCTTTTTGTAGGGTCGGAAAGCTGTGTGACCTTTTCTCCTGTGTGACCCTGGCTGATACGCCAAACATATGCACCGAAACGTGTGTAGACTGGTCCCAGAATAGATGGGACTACTACTACACACACTTCACGGTAGATCCCGTACATGGTAGAGATCTGTCTGACCCACGATATTTTTTCCAATTTCAAAATACTTGAGTGCCCGCCCACTCGAGTGCGCTTCATCGATTTTGCAGGGGGGGAGGGAGGGGAGGGGCACTCAGAAAGTTGAAGTTTGGAACGTAAGCTCGAATCCTGCAGGAAATTGCTCTGTACCAGTCGGAGAAAAGACGTGATACCATCATCCACAGAGAATCTGTTGGTGCAACCGAGTCCATTAACGCCGATCCCATGCAGATCGAATAGCTGATAATGTTATGTTTTGTGTGCTATCGGTTGCATTCCGCCGCCGAGGGCGAGAAGGGAGAATAAAGCAACGCAGAGAGAGAGATGGAGGAGTGAACGTCACACGGCTCACCGCTCAAACACACAGAACCAACAACATGCTCTGCAGTCGAACAGTCCAATAGAGCCAGTAATTCGCCATCCGACACGAAACCGTCACTTATGGAGGGACACAGCGACAGAGTCAACAGTGGTGTTTGTAGCTTCTGAAAGGCCGATTCTTCCGCTCGGCTCCCCCCTAAACTCGCCCATCTCAAGATCACAACCGCCAAGAACAGCAACAGTGACAAATAGTTTCGTGATCGACGTGTGTGCAACCTTTCGACCGTTATAGAACAAATATATACCTTATGTGCTGTCGTGTTCGCAGCGAAGAATGCAGCCGGCCCATCGTCGTGCAGGTGTGTGTTGGGGCTGCAACTCCCCGCACCAAACGGGGGCCCCTCGACTTGCACGTCGGCTGCTACCGAACATAACCTACTGGTTGCATTCTCATGGTGCGATCCGAACTAAACCAGAGAAAAGAACCCCCCAAGTCCAACGAGAGCTTCGGACCCATGTACGTTTGCAGTGACAAGATAAACAGGAGACACTACAGACAAGCCCGACCAATACAACGAACACCTTCCCCCTTGAACTTTCCTTTGAGATCTCAGATATCTAGAGCGTGCCGTCGCCCCCTTTCCCGCAGTCCCTGATGGAAGTGCTGCGCGTACGTGTGTTAGTCTTTCACGCGTATTTTTGTAGACATTCTGCGACAACAGCAGAGCCAATAATACGCCGACGCTTTATCAGCGGCATCTTTTCATCTACCCTTTTCGCCTTCTCGGGCGATAGTCCTTACCCACGCGGCTGCGTCTTTCCCGCTTGACGTACGGTCCGGCTCTGTGCGCCTGCAAGCAGCTGACAGCAGGAGCGGCGGCTCGAGGGAGCGGCCGCCGCCCCCGAGTGCACGTCGTCGACGGGAGGGTCTTGGTGTACGACCCGGCGAGCGCGGCCACCCTCCTGTCCGAGCATCGCATCTGGGCAACCCCTGTCGGCGTCAGGTATGTGTGGCGTCGTCTGGCGCGGTGTGATCTGTGATTCAGCCTGGCGTGGTGTGGGGTGGTGGTTCACGCAAGTAGCTAAAGGCTCTCATCAGCGGGACGACCATCATGTACGGTCGTGGCATGTATGATCGGTGGCATGCTTCTGTCGATGCAAAACGTGTGCTTTGATGCGATGGCACGTGACGCAATGCGCTATACCGGGGGGGCGTGGGACATTTAGGTCAGGGCAAGGTGGCAGCTGTGGAGTGCAGAGTTCCCGCATACTAGGCAGCCAACCTAACAGACTAGACTTGACTCAAAAATAGCCGTTAATTCAATACTCCACAGAATATATTGATTCCGAATATTTGTTTGCGGGTTGCGCGAATTCTCCATTCAATCAAGAGACTTGCTGTGACAAAAGCTGTTAGTTTTTAACCGAAAAGGTGCCTGCCGCCTTGCAGCGTTTTCGCAACCCCTCTTTCACCCCGCTGTTACGTTGTCTCCCCTAATCCCTAACTCCCTCTCCAGGACTTACAACACCAAACACTCGCCTCCATAAAACGAAAACAAAATCACAGGCGTGCTCGCAACAAGTCTCCCGAGCACAGCTTTCCTTGCGTGCTGTCTCCAGAGCAAGCCACCCTGGTCTTACGCAGACGCCTCGCCGATGTCTTTTACCCATGCCACTCCTCCGCCTCGGAGGCGGGGTGTCATGGCCACGAGACCCTCGAAGAGAGGCATTCAGACGACGGCGACGGGGGCGCCGAAGAACAAGAGGTTAGTCAGCCCACCCGAATCAATCTCAATGGCGATGCAGAGGTCTTCACGACCGCTCAGCGGTTGTTTGTGTAGCAACAGTGTTGTTGATGCAGAGATCGGGCAATGAAGACCGCTCAGCGATTGTATATTTAGAAAACATGTGTTCAAAATACCAGTAGCAACTTGATGAGACTGCTGCCACAGGCATTCTAGTGAATACAACATAGCAATATACGCTGTCACGTACATCATGAGCGATTTCGTAACACAAAACAGTACCGGTTTCAGTATACGTGAGATGGCACACTAAACTCGGTATGATAAGCTGTTGAAAATTCTTTAACTTGACAAATCTATTTCAGGAAAATGATGTAGAAGAATCCACAGGTACGGGTGCGGTAGATTCCGTAACAGTTCGTAATGTTTCCTAGGTCGTGCACAATTTCCTAGAACGGTTCTCAGGAACGTTCTCAGGAAAAGTTCAAGGTAAGACTAAATGTTCCCGCAACGTTTCCGGAACAGTGCTTGTGGTCTTGTTGAACGGTTGGTTCCCGGAACGGTTCCGGACTAATAGTACTAAAGTTCTCTATGGTTTCGTCGTTAATCGACGAAAATGCTGCAAAGCGCACATACCCCCACCCTTAGCTTACTCTGTTTCCTGCCCAGCACAACAATACAGCAGTATTGTATAGCATGGATATCTTTTTTATCATTTCTTTTTGAATCAATTTCCATTTGGTTGAAGACTCTCTGCACACCTGTTACAAAGGGGTGGCACACGCTTCTGTTGCCTTGCTTGCTCACTGCTGTACTACTGCCGTAGCACTGATCGCTTGCACATTGAGACTGCTGACTTGCGTCATCAGCCTATTATCATGTTTTTGGTGAGGGCATATTTGCGGCACATCTGACTTTCGCTGAAAAGAACACACCAAGCATTCTAGCACAGGCAAAACCATCAGGGAACTGTTCTGGACTACAAAGTCAGGGTAGACCCTAAGCCACTGCTTTTTGTCAAAGAGCGGTGAGCGGTTGCGGTCGCTCTTCCACGCAATCGCTGCGTTTTTTGCCGTGGTGCTGAACCTATGGCGATAGGTTCTTCGGTGCAGACCTGCTTGGATGGGAACGCTCTGCGGTTTGTTGCCGCTGTCGCTAGTGCTGAACCTGTATCGTGGTAACGTTTTCGGTGCAGACATGCTTGGATGGGAACAGCAGCAGCAGTGATACCGCACATTTAGAAGACCCCCATGCACGCCCCGTCAGCGGCGACATATCACGTATCACGTGCAGCACAAGCGGGGAGGTGCATCACGACATGGACGTCACCCGCCGTCATACATACTTGTTGCTCTTCCTGCCTTGCTAGCACAGCGTGTATGGTGACCTTGGCAAAGGCACAACGGGTAATCGTAGCTACCCGCAACCATCTTGGCCCACGAGGAATTCTGCATGGGAAATTTTGACCACGAGTCTGCATTTCTTCACCTCAAGGCTTCTCGAACAATTAGTATTCGGCGGAGAATCACTTTCGGGCTAGCTCGCTTTCTGTCAGTACGAACTCGCGACGTGTTCAAACGCCACGGGTTACTGATTGACGAAATTCCACCAATGTCACTAGGTTGAAACTTTAGTAGTGCGGAACGTGATGGTGGCAATGGAGGGAATTTATTTGGTAGCAACGAAGGAGGAGGAGAGGGAACCGGAGAACAAGGGAACGGCCAAACATGAAGTGGAAGAGAGCAAGAACTTCGAGTTAGATGACCGTCCTCACAACAAATGACTCAGGGGTAGAGAAGAACTGCCACAAAATAGCTGTAACAATGGCGATGAAAGCAAGGAGGATGATGGTGACAATACTCCAAAACGAACCCGAGTGCTAGGTAGCAGCCTTGGCAGACGCGTGCGTTATTCCTCTGTTGCTACCATTTATGTCCTTAATCCGGACAATAGCTTGGCCTCCCCCATGACGCCCCCTCGTGGGGTCCCAATTCATGGCATTTGGAAGTGTTGTTTTGTGTTTTCAACCGCACTAAGACTGACGTCTTTTCATTGGTCAGCCGGTTAGCGCGGTCGATGCCACTAATAATAATAAAGACACACATGCACAGCGTTTTGTGTTTTCAACCGCACTGAGACTGACGTCTTCTCATTGGTCAGTCGGTTAACGCGATCGACGCTAACAATAAAACAGTCACAAAACACTGGGCGGGCTATTTTCGTCTTCGTGGGGCCCCTGTCCCACACACCTTGTTTTTTTTTCGCCCTCGTGTTTTTTTTACCATCTTCTTCCTCCTCCTCCACCCCCTCACCGCTCCGATGCAAAGGAGGCGAACGTACCGATGACCACTAAGAAGGTCTGTCATGACCCACCGCGCTTGTTGGACTCGGAATGGCGATTTCCTGAGACCGCGGTAGAGACAAAGTCAATGGCCGTGTTCGAGGATCTGTGGGCCAAGGGATTGTGCCCGGCCAGCGGGAGTAATTACGCCGCGGACTTCGTGGTGTACAACGGTGAGGACGGGACTACACTGGAGTGTTGTTGTTGTTGTTGATCTCGTTGTTTTTGTCTTTGTCTTGACTCTGAAGCAACGATCTCACCTTTTTTTTCCTACCTCCTGGGATGCTCGCCAGTAGGAATGAGCTCCCATCGTGAGACTTCAGGCTCAGTCCAAGTACGGAACAAGTTCAGAGTCAAACACGTCTAGGAGGGGTGCGGAGATATTCGTGGAATGCCCCGTTCCAGTCTCTCGATTACCCTTGAAGCACAAGAATAGCTGATTTGTATTTTGATGACTTTTCCCGTTTTCACTGCGCGATATTCTAGTGGCTAACACCTGTTGTATGCCACACGCGACACCTATTTGCGTTTCCCGTTTGTCCCGTCTTGAAAGGTCCTCCAACAGAGCGCCACTCAATCGCCGCCGTGATCGTTAGCCGGGGGGCCAACGACGAGCTGTCCCCGGCGGAGGTGTCCGGCTTCACTCGAGTACAGCAGGCGGTGGGGAAGCGGGCGGTCATCGCGACGGCCCCCCTCACGACGAATGGTACCTCGCCGGTGGTGGTCGGGGCAACTACGCTGGCTTCGGCTGCAGCGGCAGCGGCGGCAGTGGTGGCACCCCGTGGCAGCGAACGGAAACCGACCGGGGTCGAAGTCCGGACAAGCACGCCTCGCCGGCATGAAGGCGGACAAGAAACAGCATCAGGCACAGTTTCGGGGACGGCGTCAAAAGAACCGCCCACACCAGCACCTGCCGCAGCAGACGCAGCGGCGGCAACGGCGGCGGCGGCGGCGGCGGCAGCAGCAGCAGCAGCGAATGAAGGCGTGCGTTACATCACGCTGCAGTTCCATTCCGTCAGCAGCAGAGTGTGAGCAGAAGATGTTCCAAGGGTGTCGTAGACTAAATGGCGTGTTTCGGTCGCATGCTGGCCGTCGGGCGGTGGCACGGTGAGCGGTAACTTGGCGCGGCGCAGACGTGATGGGCGCGAACAAAGCCTGTGTGAAGAAATGGGAGGGGTGGATTCTAGGATGCCATCTTTTCATTTTTTCCACGAGCGGACTTCATATGGCGAGAGAGAGACGAGTTTCGGCAGGGTTTGTTTGTGCGAAACCCAGTGCCCCCCCCCCACCCCCCCGGCGCCCCCTTGAAAATTCTGGCGGGTATGGATACTAGGGACCTGGAAACGCCACATGTTTAGCACATGCTTGCAGGAAGCTTGGTCACATGAGTCAGCTAATAATGTGGTTGTATGGCCAAAGTCCGCCTTACCTTTTAAGCGATGCTTGTACGTGCGGTGGACGTTGGCCACAACCACATGACCCGTGATGCATACCTGGCGATGCGTGATTGTAGTGCGTGCGATTGACGAAAGATTCCGACGTACACGTGTTTGACGGCGGAAGCCGGGAGCGGGGGGTGAGGTGAGTCGGCGGGAGCGGGAGCGGAGTCTTGAGTGCGTCTGAAGGAGGCACACCAGCCATGAGTATTCTACCCATAACGTAATCAAAACGTATCCTGCTAGGACTGAAGCGTGAGGAAGCTTTCAGACCAGTCAATGGAGTGTACATTGGTTCTTGAGCTATTAGATACACAGTGCTGTTGTGTCCTGCCGGTGTCGTGCTGGTCAGGATAGGTCAGGTTTAGGGCTATTTGCCCGGAAGAGTTTGGGGTCAGTGTTGGATATGCTTGCACCCCCTGTTTGCTGGGCTAGCTTACCTACGGTGTGGCCCGTGGGTACGGGGTTTAGGTGCAGTTTGTAGTCGAGGTGCTTCAAAAGACTGGTATTAGTAGTTCGGCTACTTTGTGGTCAGAGAAGCCGTGGTGTAAATAAACGTGGGCAGTGTGGTTATTGAGTGTTGTGGTGTGCGCCAGATGATTAATTTAGTTACACCGGTGGGTGTGCAGGTCTAGTGGTTTTGCTTGCTCTAGCACTTTCCACGCAGGCCAGGAACGGAAGCAAGAGAAAAACTTACTTTGCAAGGAGAGCTCGCTTACGCTGGGGTTCGGAAGCTTGACCCTCTGGCCAAAAGTTTTCGAGGATACCACGTAGACTACCACCGAAGGCAGACGATACATCATGTAATGCCACGCACATACCCACGTTAGCATCCAACCCCCCACGAAGACACTTGAAAAAAAGAGCGTGCCAACAAAACCTTTGACTCCGCCACACGTGATAGGGGGCATTGACAAGCGATTCGTCAATCCATGGGTGCAATGAAGCGCTCAACATGCTGCCCCCTCGCAGTCGTCGCAGTATCAACCCTGGATGTTGTTCAGCCAATAAAACTATAAAACGAACTCATTCTTCCGGTCATGTTTGTTCACAGATCATCATGTGCTGCTGTGTACACGCATAGATGCATTAGTGTAGAGGCTCGTTTCTTGTTTTCTCTGTGGGGTAGACTACTGTAGTGGGGTATAGCCCCCAACAGCACGGCTCGGCAGGTTCTTTTTTCGTTTAAACAATAAATCTTCGTAGATACTGGAGATTCCGACCGTAGATCGTCGTGCACCGAGTTTGAAGTGTGAAGGTTTAGGGCTTGAGTGCTGTGTTTGTTGCCCTGCTGCCGATATATCGCTTGGCTGCTGACGACAGCCCCCTCCAATACTGACAGGTGTGCCTGTGCGTGACCTCTGCAAAATGAGTGACATCACTAGCGACACCAGCAGCGTGTACAAACCTCTTCCTCCTCGACAGAGTGAGCAGCAACAACGACAATCATCACGGCCATCAGTGACTTCGAGACCGCAGCAGCGACCGCCTCCAGAACCGAGCCGCTCCTCGAGTATTCAGGAAAAATCCCTTCGAACCGGGTTCCGGCGGCAGAGGGCGGTCAAGGAAGCCGCCAGGAGACACCTGGCTGCAGCCGCTGCCACCGCCGCCGCCGCTGCCACCGCCACCGGTGATGCGTATGATGTTTCCCGTCTGACGACCTCGACGCCCGTCCAGTCCGCCTCGTCGCAGCAGTGGTACGGGATGATGCGACAGGTGATCCAGTACACGACGATTAAAGTGCCGCGCGGTGCACTTAAATGGTGTCCGAGGCTTGTCGTCGTTGAATTGTTTCAGGTGTTTGCCACCGCGCGTTGCCATGAGCCATTCACACACATACTGCATACGTTGCCGTTGTATCGGTCGGAACGCATTTCTCTTCCTGGTACGTCCGTTTTGGTGTGTGTGTCTCTGATCCTTCGACTACTTACTGTTGTACTTCGCTGTGTTCAAGAAGATTCTGATCAGATGTCTCCAACAACAACAAGAGGAGCATAAAGTCGAGAACGAGCACCATCGCTTGATCACGCCCGCCATCCCGGTCGGCATCGCCGGTGTCGCTGACGCGCGTCATCAAGCCGGAAGAAGAGTGGTGCTGCCCCTGCCCAGCAACATCGACGATGACAAGAACGACGAAGGTGCTCTCACTGCGAAGACTATTGCCATGATCGCTATGAGAGCGCGGTGCCAAGAGGCGCTAAGCTTTCTGCGCTACGTCAGGAGGGTGTTAGAAGAGAAGGGGGAGGACGCAGCCGCCGCCGCTGCAGCTGTCGCCGCCGGGCATGGCTGGGACTGGGTCGAAGAGAACTGCAGGTGATGAAGATCTATATGCGGTACTACAGTCACCTGGTAGATGTCAATGTACATGTAGTAAAGCGATTGCTTCCGCGAGGAGGATTTGCAACTGCAAGTGTTAGGTGGTGTGCAAAAGAGTTGTGAACGTGACAAGGCGAGTTTTCAATCTCAGGTCGGTTATAACCACCACTCACTGCTGTGGTGCAAATTGATCCTTGGCCTTGTACAACCTATGGACGTTGGGTGAAAAAATGAAATATCAACAGGTACACACTGCTGTGCCTAAGGATTTTCACAGCGGTGGAGGCGCAATCTTGGCAAAGGAAAAGGGACAACTAACTTATTCAGCGGCGCAGTCGACGGGAGTCGTCAGTCGTCGACTACTGCCTCCGCCCTGGAATGTCACAGAGTATTGCTTCCTTCCCTCCTGGATACGGTCCCATGCATATCTCGCCGATTTCCCACAGAAAATCTGGAGAAAACCGGAGGGACAGGGTAGACAATATATCACTAGCTGACTGATATGGCAGTGACGCCATACTCCGACACGCCCGTTACAGTATGTAATACACCCACACCGGCCTATTTGAAATACCTACAGTAGTTTCTTCCGTGCGCACCTCCAAGTCGTGACCAGTTGTCTTTGTACGTTTTTTTGTGGGAAAGGCAGATGCGTCTTCGACCTTCTCGGCGCAGTCCCTCTCATAGGTTCTCTAGACCCGGTCTTCCGAAGAAAGCTGCTCTGGATGCTTGATCTCGCCAACCGTCAGGAGGGCCAGATACTCTTCCGCCAAGGCGATAAACAAGAAACGGTATGGAAAACGGCATAGCACAACTTAGACTATATGGCATGAGGTGTGCACGATCTCGTTGTGAAGTTTTCCTGTTGTAACGTTATTGTCGTTGTTTCCTTGCTGGACGCGTGGATCTCCTCATCCGTCTCGTACAAGAGCCGACTTCATTGCATGTTTTGCTTCCACCACGGATATAGCACAACCATTGATGTCGACTGTTCTTTTGCCACTTGCTTGGTATTCAGCTTTGGCTTATTCTCGACGGACGGATTGGCGTCCGCTCGACAGACAAGCAAGGAGTTGTCCACTATACTGGAGAGTTCAACTCAGGGCACGTGAGTGTGGTGCTGCTGCTTTTGCTGCTATTTTTTTACGCGCTGCCTACAGACTACACGAGGGAACACACACAGCTGTTGACACCACCACCTACAAGCGAAGTACAGTAGGTGGAAAATATTGCACCACGTCGTTCGAGTTTGGTGCGCAGACCATGGGTTTGTCGGTTGGTCGGCGCGAGTCGGTTCTACGCACGGAAAATCACTTCAACTGTCACAAACACCACCCTGCACAGGTCATCGGCAGCATCCTCCCCGAGAAGCGGCTGGCGACAGCGATCTGCCTCGAGCAGTGCACCTTGCTCCAGCTCGACCGCGCTACTTTTCTCCAGGCCTTGAACGACCCCGAGGCGCAGCGCGCCGTCGTGAAAAAGGTTCGTGTCACCCCCCCCCCCCCACCACAAGGGTAGAAACACTTGCGCGCGTGTGTGTGAGATTGAAGGTCGGAAGGTTGATGAGCAGCCCCTTCCTGTCTTTTCGATAACCACCCTAAGCTCGCCGTGTTTTCAACATCTTTTTTAGTCAATGCTGTCAGCCCCTCTCCCTGTTTTGCTTAGTTTTATCTGTTCTGTAGTGCCGCCCCGCCCCACTCCTGTACAGAGGTAAATCTTTACATCCGACGAAAAACGTTTCTAGAATCTTCTTTGGTTACCCCCTTTTCCCTTACGTCCTGCCACGGCACACCTGATGCATGTGGTGGCATAGGCGTTATCCAAGACCTGGTTGTCGTAAATTAACATAACGCTGGAAACTTCACTTCACAACTGCGCGCAATGTCGTTTCATTCCCAATGAACACGCTGTAGCCCCCACCCCCCCAAAATCCCTATGCCTGCCTGCAGAACTTTTTCCGATCCGTGTCCCTCTTCAAGGGGCTTGGGGAGAGGGACCTCGACCGGCTGGTCTCGGTTTTCCACCACACCACGCTGGAGGCGGGAGACGTTCTATGCCGGGAGGGGGAGCGGGTGGACTACCTCTACCTCGTCCAGCGTGGCAACCTTCGCCTCCTGAAGGCCTTTGTGCCCCTCCCTGATGATGGTGACGATGATGATGATGATGGTGGTGGTAGTGGTGATGACGATGATGGTGTCCCTGCTCGACAGCGACGACGGGCAGAGGACAAAGCGGGGTCTGAGTTGGAGTCGAAGACGGAGACGGAGACGGAGACGGGGACGGAGACGGAGACGGAGACGGAGACGGAGACGGAGAGAATAGGAGCTGATGCGACGCAACGAAGGGAATGGACGCACGAACATGAGCAGACGCACGAACATGAGCAGGAGAAACAACAGGAGACCCGGCACCAGCGGCAACAGCAGCAAGAGCATCCGCAACAGCGAGCGGAAGCACCAAGGCGAGGAGTAGCGGGGAAGTCGCGGTCAGCAAGAAGCAACGAGAATACCAACATTGCCAACGGTAACAGCTGTCGACGCAGCAGTGGCCCGGGGGCACAGCAAGCAGTACCACCGTCAGCACACCAACAACGACAACAGCAGCACTATCGACATCCTTATCAACACCAACCGATGCTACCATCATCATCATCGCCATCACCATCATCGCCACCCATGAGGGTGCGATACTTCGATCTCGGAGTCGTGGGGCGACGAGAGTTCGTCGGGGAAGGAGGCTTCACCTCAGCCGCGTTCGCGGGGGCAGGTGCGCTGAAAGCCGCCGGGGGCATGGCCGGAGAAGATGTCCGAGACGGAGGGAGTGTGAAAGGCAGGAGGCTCGGGGGGGTTGGGCCCGGATCAGCAGCAGCAGGAGGAGAAGACGGACCGGGGGGGGCAGGGGCGAGAAGGAGCGTCTGGAGTAGCTGCCACAAGAACCGCGGGCGTGTGGTGTCGCGGATCGGGGGAGACTACCTAGTGTCAGCCTTCGCTGAGGGCCGGGCGGACATCTTTGCGGCGAAAGTTGGCCACCTGTTCCCCTTGCAGTCGGCCGCCCTCAAGCTCTGCTGGATCGAGGGGCGTGAGGTAAAAGTGTGTGGTGTGTGTGTCCCTTGCTGTTGTGTCGACATACGTGAGTGCCCGACAAATACTCAGGTGGTAATAAACTGCAGGCGTGATTAGATGCCCAGCGTTTGGTTTTCGGGGCTCGTATTCGTCTAGTCCACATGGCCATTTCGTAGTTTTTCGCAGGTGGTGTAGCCCAAGAGAGTTTGGGTGAGCCCAGCGCTCAGCGGGCTGAATTTGTTTTCTGTGGTGGGTGCAAGCCGAGGTGAGCCTCTCTTCTTTTCTGCTGATGTTGCCCCCAAGGAAGGCTCGCCTATAGGGGAAGTCCCATCGAGAGTTGAATACTCACCTGTTACGGCGTTCTCCCCAACATCCATCTGTTGTCTAAGTAAGTGGTGAACTCTTTACTTTCGGAAAAGTGTTTCGTTCTGAATTTCTCGTGTCCAAGGACTTTCTCCTGTCTCGACGCCTGTCAAACCTGAAAACTAATTTGACGTGGCCCAACATTGACTTCTCTCGAATTGAAGAAGATGTTGTGAAATTGTCGGGGGGTGCCAGGGTACGCTTATAGACGAGCCATGCGCAGCAAAAAGCATTCATCGTCGTTCAAACATTTCTTCCAAATCCTCGGAAGCAAATACACCCCGTGATTTGTGCTATGTCAACGCATTCGGGCAGCAGTGTTGAACCGAGATCAGATGAGTTCGCATCAAAGGGATCACAACGCCGTGTGTGGTAGTAGTTTGGCGGACGCCTATGTCACCTTTTCCTGATGTCAGCTCTCCCTTCTCAATTCAGATTGATTCGACCGGGAGGGAGAGGATGACTGATGTCGCGCGGTAGTTGATGTGCATGTATGCATACGTTCCGGCCACGTGAGGCTGAGCCATGTTTATGCATGACATGATTCGGTTGTTGGGGCACTGTGTGTCTCGAACAGCAGTGGATTGGATTAAACAAAACCCTTGTCGCACTCGAACTTCGGTTGTACGTCGGCACGTGTCTCGGTTCTTGCTCTTGTCAAGAAACATGCTAACGACGTTGTTGTTGTTGCACGCGATGGCCAAGCGTGGCTAGAGCAAGTTAACTCGACACGACCCACATCGACCAACTCCGAAGTATAGGTGATAAGACAAGCATACACTTGGTACCGTTTTTTCGATGCCCACATGATTGCAACGATCAGCATTGACGGAGTACCACGTACTCACCCCCTAACATTTGTAGGTGCAACATAGTGCCCTGGTGTAAAAGAGCATAAAGTCTAGTCTACAGTAGTCTACTTGGCTTTGCGAGTTGTCGACAACGAGGAGTTACTCTTAATATCTTCTCGCTTTGATTTTTTCCAACAAGGTGCACAAAATGAAGGAGCGAGAGTGGAAGGCGGGTGCGTTGGCTGCCAGGCTGAGAAAGCAGATCGCGTGGGAGCGCACCAAACGGGCCATCGTTATGGATAGCATACGGATAGGCGTACTCGAGAAGAGGATGGCGATGACCGTCAGCCGGGCGGAACGGGCAGAGCGTGGGAGGGGCGTTGAGAACAGCCGTAGAGGTGGCAACGGTAGCGGTGACAGAAACAACAGCAACGCCGCCGCTGTTGCTGGCTTGCCCCAGTCTCATGAAGCAGGTGGTTAAGTCATCCCAAGAACGTTATTTCGATCGTGGCTTACGTTTACGCTCAGCAGGGCATGGGGGGTGGGGGTGGTGGGGACACAAAGAGGTATTGAATGACACAATCTTCTTGCGTGTATCACGCTAATTGTGGCCGGCACATAGCTCTCCGGTCGGATAACTATATGGGCGGCGGCGCTCACATCTTGGCTCGAACACAAACCAATTTTCAAGCCGTGCTTAGAGATTGATCAAGAAGAATAAAAACAGAAAAAAGGAGAATACCTTTTCTCTGTTACCGAGTAAAGGTCCCTGAAGTGGTGAATACCGTTCACCAGCGGATGTATTTCGCCCTTGTTGCAATGTGGCGAGGAATTGCCAAGCGTGGCTGACTTTGGTCGGTCTTGCTAGGTTGAAAGGTGAGAGTGAGCCTCAGTGGCCCGCTTTCACCCGCTGGCTGGTCACAGCAGCCAGAGGGTCTTTTCTTTGTAAACATCTTCAGGCCTCGGGAACGCCGTTCGTAGGGTCTCGCATCCTCACGGTTGTATGTGCGTCACTACTGTACCACTAGGAACATGTTAATATCCTGGTTTCCGCAGAAATATGCTTCGAATACGCTTCAGCGTGGCAGAAGAAGGCTCTTGGAAAATGTCTTTCATGTATTATTGAAGTGAACCCCGCCAAGGAAAAGATGGTGTAAAGCACTAAATACCATATGTAGCAAGATCAGTCAACCGAATCGAACCAATACCCAAGCGTCACGTGACAACGTACGGCGATGAGGACAACCCACGCCCTGCCGGGAGGCAATATAATCTACGTCTAGCATGCGAGAAGGACAGGGCGCACCACCCGAAGTATATCCTGACGAGCGGCACAGCAGTCGCCTCTACGTCAGCGAAAGACCAGCAACAAGGAAATGCAGTCACGTTACCACTTCATGCCACCAACACGCCAACCACGGTGTGTGCTACCCCCGTCTCGATCGACCCATCATACGAAAGCTCGGCAACCGCTACATCTCCCGGAAGTAGTTCGAACGACCTCCAGACGCTGGCTGCCGGCGATGTCAGGTCGCAACAGCGCTGTTTTCGCCCAGAATGTCCGAGGCCACGTGATCAGTACTATAGGTGAGATCGAGCTGCTCGGCAGAGGCCGCAGGAAGTCGTGCTACACTGCAGAGTATATCCATGCCCATAGCACATGGCCTAGAAGCAGGATAGGCAGAAACTCAGACGTTCCTTTGAGCCCGCTCTTCCTATTGTGGTAGCGCAAACCCGCGTCTCCATCCTGCCGTTGGGATCATCAAGAGCTTCACCTAATATACTATTTTGAAGGATACCTTTCTACTTTTATCATCTTAAGATAAGGATGGACGGTATTGTACTTGGTAGGGATACCAGCAACCGGATTGTTGCTCAACGAATGCACGCACACGCCAGAGGGCAACTCATCTTCCGCGGGATCAGGCGTGGCAAGCGTGCCCTGATAAACGAATAAGGCAAAGGTGACACACGCGAAACATTGAAAACAAACACGAACACACACAAACCTTGAACAAGTACATCTAAATGAGCCTGACATTACAGGAACGTGGAAAAACAATTTGAAACTAAAACTAAGGACGAAAAGCGCAGTATCCCGTCGACGGCAACAACAGTCTTGGGACGTAAAATAACATGCATGCATCATACGTGGACCGATACGCGGCTCATTCGCCAACACCACTACAACCAAACCCGTCACTGGGAATACGAAAGATGAACAATTCAGATTCAGCCGTCGGCTCACACAGCTGGGCCTTGACCCTTCGTCCTGCCCAACTACTCGTGCTATTCACCACAAGCCGGTCTAGACCTTTTACTTGGCCGCCCTTCGGCCGCCTCCGCCCCCGCCGCATCGCCCGCCCCCGCCCCCCCTTCCCCGCCACCCCCTCTTCCTGCGCTGCTACTACTTCTCCCACTACTCGAAGGCACAGCCGCGGGCGCCGCCGCCGGTCTCTTCTTTCTTGCCCGCCTTGGCGCCGTGACTCTTGAAGCTCTTCTGAGCGCCGCATGGGGCGCCACCACTCGCTCGACGGCGCAGAACGTCCACGCGTCCAGCGCGTCCACGTCGACCTCGATCTCGACCGCCGCCGTCGTCCCGACCAACGCCTCCACGCTATCATTCCCCCCGCCACCACCATCGGCACAACCTCCACCGGTGCTTCTTCCTTCTTCTTCTTCTTCTTCTTCTCTCTTTCTTTGATGCCCGGCCCGTCTAAGCATCAGCGCCTCCGGACACCCGCGGTCAATCTCGTGCACCGCAGCCGTCACGTCCTCCATCCTCGCCCGTCCCAAGTGCCTCGCGAGCCTGCGCCGGTCTTCTGTTGTGGGGTCTGCGGCGACCGCCGCGGCGACACTGGCGCTGCTGCCCCCGCCGCCTCCCCCGCCGCCGCCCTTTGGCTTGGCAGGGCCCTTGCCGTTGCCGTTGCTGCCGCCGCCGCCTCTGGAAGACGACTTTGGCCGCCCCCCCGCCAATATCTTCGCGAACCGGGTCTCGAACCGCTTCGACAACGCGTCTGCCGCCTGAATGAGTTTTTGTGTTCGCACGCACGGGATGGAAGAAATACCAGGCGACACAATATATGGTCGGTTTAACGGACATACGCGCATTGTGTTGTGTTGGAGAACGCAAAGAACCCAGCAGGAACGGCATAGCTAACATAACAAAATGTGGTACCTCGAACACCACACCAACAAACAAGTCTACGCGCTCGAACAACTAGTTTCTTGCTTGCCTTGTGGAGGTCGCGCGGCACCCCTCCCGTGTTGTACGTCCTGCAGTTGTCCCAGATCAGCCTTACGTCCGCGGCGCAGGCCTCGGCTGTCGGATACGTCCCCCGCTCCAGGCGGACCTTTACCGTGCCGAGGTCCATGGGCCTTTTGATGAGGTTGGGGTAGTCGTGCAGACCGAGGCCGCGCCAGTCCACCGGCTCCCGGAAAGCCTCGGAATCCGCCGAGCCCAGAAGGGAATCGATCAGCTAAATGGTGTTTTTTTGTTTGAAAGGTGTGTATGAACGGCACAGAGAAGGGCGTGAGGAACCAATGGCGAAGAAGACGTTACACAAGAAACGCGTGAGTGGAGGTGTGACTTCTTCATATCCCCGGGGGGATGGATCGAATGCTATTGATGGAGTAGAAGAAGCAAGCACGAGGAGGAGAGAACACACGAGAGGACGAGTGGATGGCGCTCAATTTTCATTTAGTCCAGAGGAGATTACAGGACACAACGAGAACGTCTGCCCGATTTACAGCAGTCGATCCTCATTCGAGGCACCCATTAATTCACGCTCTCACCGTTCAGGGAACGACGATCAACCACCTTCAGGGTAAGCGCAAGGTGTTCCATACGTCAAACTATGCGCCTTGGGCGAGGGGTGTTTGAGACATGAACCGGCTATCACACACGACCATAGGCGACCTGGGCATCAACCACCTTCAGGGTAAGCGCAAGGTGTTCTATACGTCAAACTATGCACCTTGGGCGAGGGGTGTTTGAGATATGAACTGGCTATCACACACGACCATAGGCGACCTGGGCATCAACCACCATCAGGGTAAGCGCAAGGTGTTCTATACGTCAAACTATGCGCCTTGGGCGAGGGGTGTTTGAGACATGAACGGGCTATCACACATGACCATAGGCGACCTGGGCAAGGGGTGTTTGAGACATGAACGGGCTATCACACACGACCATAGGCGACCTGATGGCAAGCCATTGCGGGGTTGTAGGGTTGTACATTTGCCAGCGGCAAGACGGCCTTATTTGCTAGCACGATGTTCAGCCTAGGAAAGTGGCTGTCGGTGTGATGCTTTCGACGCACTCTAAACACAGACATACACGCGATTGCGCCAAATCATGACGGACGTTTCATGAGCGAACGAGTGCAAAGGCCTTGGGCATCAACAAGAATAACGTCTCGCTACATTCGTCACTCTGACCATGCGCATGCCAAAACAGGCGCAGCTCCTCTTTTGACCAAAAATGGACCCCCGGCCTCTACCGATGATTGAGCAGGTATGTAGCGTCTTCTCGCTCAATCTCTGTGCTGTATGCTGCAAAGCTGGCACGAGCAATCGGTAGAACCAGTAGCCAACGGAGAGCTCCCGACATACGAGCCCCGTTTCCCTTTCTGCGGGTTCCTCATACTTGAAAAAAAGAAACGCATCCCATGAAAGCGAAGATCACTGCTGTATTGATGATTGTGTGTGGGTGGTGGCGGTTGGGTGAGTCTGCAGACCTCAGTAGCGGGTTCGTTGACGGACTTTCTGTCGCTCCCTATTTTGGAAAACATGATGCGATGCGCGCACGGAGTGGAGTGGGAGCAGCGTGCCGTGAAAAAAAGCGAAGCAGCTGGGGCCGACAATACTAGAATTGAAACGCTGAACATGATCCGAATCTAATTGTTTCGCTTTCGAGAACCCGGCCAAACGAAGACGATTCCGTGCATGACGATCTTCAAGACTTCATGCGTTTCAGCAGCCCAGGCTTGTCAAGTGTTGGAAAAGTGGAACGAGTGTGTGCGATAGAAGGCAACCGAACAGTTGCGCGCTGAAACTAGTTGCATACAAAAAACACGAAGACTCACTGTCATCTATGATTGGGGTTCAGGGCAGCTGACTCCTAGAACCCTCAAACCTTCAGACATGATCTAACCCGGCCAGCCTTTGTGGGGTGTGTGTGTACTTAATTAGGTATGCTACCGTTACAGCACTACCCTATGCAAGATCGCACGCGTTTCGACGGGCTGGTAAAACGATTGGGGCGCAGCGTTGTCGACGCGTGTTGTACGTTTGTGTGGGTGGTATGCATAACATGCACGTGTGTGTGTTGTCTTCGCATTAACAACCGTTCCGATCTCTCCATCCGGTACCTCCATCTGTCCATACTGATGTATCTAAAGTACTGCATACAGGATTAGACTACAGCAGCACAATGGCATTTAGTTAGTTGCTGAATCCCGTGTGTATATGGGGAATCTTCGGTAGTCAGTCCCGCACGCAGAATAAATAAGGGGGATGGTTGAACCTTTCAACGGTTGCCCGTTTTTCTCTGTCTTTGTTGTGAGGCGCTAAAGTACGAGGCGAACTACAGTACAGTATGTAGCCGGCCCAACACTGAAGCGTGCGAGGCTTCGGTGCCAAGTCAGAGCCGTCCTCGACTTCAACGACAACATCGGAGCAGTATGCTGGACTTAGGGCGCAACCGCGGGGTTTGTCCCGATAGACACGCTTGGCGTTTTGGGGATCTTAATGTTCCTCGTCGTCCCCTAGCCTGCTGGTAGTACGACCACGACTTACAGAGACGGCGTTCGACACTTGATACCGAGAGTATTGTACCGCGCCCAGGGGGAGCCCAGTGTATGAGGAGCCGTATGTATGTATGCATACGGTTGGAAAAAACTGAAATACCTTCTCCATCAGCGGAAGTATGAGTGGAAATATGGCGGAGTAAAGCGCGTTTCCTTCGCCACAGATTTATCTTCGACTGCTGCACTATCGCCCTGTTGCTGTCCTCGGGGCGCTGCTGGGGGGCTGTGCTGCGTGCTGCCTGTGCTGCCAGGCTGCAGGGGGGATGCGGCGCGATTTCTGGGGGCTTCGCAGAAGACAGTCTACAGGAGACCCCCCCTCGCTTGACAAAGAGTTAAAAGAAATGGTTACTTGCTGCCGTCGTCTCACCCTCCAGCACAGCTCCCAGCAGAGCCCCGAGGACAGCAACAGGGCCTAGAACAGCATTCAAAGAGAAATCTGTGGCGAAGGAAACGCGCGCTGCTCCGCCATCTTTCTACGCGTACTTCCGCTGGCTGATGAAGAAGGTATTTCAGTTTTTTCCAACCGCGGCTCTTCATACACTACTGTAGGCGCTGGGCGAGATATTGTACAATACTAATTCTAATATTACCCGGTATCAAGTTTCGAATGCCGTCTCGCCGAACTCGGCCTACAAGTACACGTATCTACGAAAGACCCTTGTAGACTCAATGGGTGAACACAACAGGACAAAAAAACTGTGCTTGGATATGTGTGTGTGATGGAGAGATGGAAAACCGCAAAGTTTCGTCACATGAGGGACTGAGATGGCGGACCTGAGAACGCTAGACTATACCACACATATAGTCTACGCCGGATGGGCCCGACATGTACATTCAGCAATCAGCACCACCGCGATCACTGGAGGTAAGCCTTTGCTCGGTTGTTCGGCTCTTTCTCAATCCCTTGACTTGAACGTGCACCGTGCCCCTTTCCCTCTTTCCCGAAATGAATGGTGTTGACTACTTGTTCGTAATAGTAAGTCTCGTCGTCTGAGAGACAAAAAGAGGACTATAATAATATAGGAAGGGAATTAATTGTTGATTGTTGGCGTGTGCCATTGCGGCGCCCGCTCAAACGTTACAACCAGCGGCTGCATTTTGATACCACGTACGCATATGCATACGATAAAGCCTAAAGACATACTTGCCATGACTGCTATGCTTGCGTCTGTGTACAGCAGGGACATCAAGCCCACAAATCAGCATGATTCCACAACAAGTGTTGAAAGAATGCTCCGAAATTTGATTTTTTTCAAGGGTTTACTCGGTAACGGTTTATTAGGCGGTCAGGTTTCCGGCGGTAATGCCATTTGGCGGTAATTGTTTTGGCGATAGACGGTAATGCGTTTTTCGGCGGTAACGACTTTGGCGGAGGCGGTAAAACCCTTTTTTGGCGGTGGTAATGTTTCGGCGGTATTGCCATACGGCGGTAAATATTTTTGCGATACTGTAGACGGTAATGCGTTTTTCGGCGGTAACGACTTCGGCGGAGGCGATGAAACAGAATATTGGCGGTAATTTTTTGGCGGCAACGCCATACAGCGGTAATAGTCTTGGCGGTAGGCGGTAACGCGTTTATTGGCGGTAACGAGTTTGGCGGAGGAGGTAAATAAAAAGAAAAATGCGGTAAAACGGCGGATTACCCGGACCGCCCACCACAGCGGCAATTTCACGGCGGTAATGATTGCCATTGCCTATGGCCACAACTTCAAGCGACACCAAACAAGGCGGCAATTGCGGTGGTAAGTTACCGCGCCAGAACAGACGGAAAACCACTTTGCCGAAGATTGATCATATACTTCCATGTTTTTGTTTTGTCGTTTTCACCATTTCACATTTTAGAGTCAATTCGACGTAGAAACATGCGCGCGCCTCCTCGTCTCCCTGTCCACTCAGTACATTCAATGGTTCTCCCGAAAACGAGAACCCGAACCGAAGAACAGATACTTCATGAAAAAAAATGGCCGGAAAAAGTACGAAGGACTCGAACTCCTGATTCACACTGTGGTTGTACAGCAGTCTAGGCTAGACCTCTACGCACTCAGCCAATCGTTCGGCGGTAACGTACCTACATGGCGGTAAATTTCGGTGGTAATGCCGTATGGCGCTACATTTTCGGCGGTATTGACGTACGGCGGTAATTGTTTGGGCGGTAGGCGGTAATGCGATTTTCGGCGGTAACGACTTTGGCGGCGGCGGTGAAACAGAATTTTGGCGGTAATTTTTCGGCGGTAACGCAATACGGTAATTGTTTTGGCGGTAGGCGGTAACGCGTTTTTCGGCGGTAACGAGTTTGGCGGAGGCGGTAAAACCAAAAAACGGCGGTAAAACGGCGGATTACCGGGGCCGCCCACCACGGCGGTAATTTAACGGCGGAAAAAATACCGAGTAAACCCTTGAAATTTTTACCAGGTATCGGTTTGGTCTGATCATCGTTGTCATGTTGTGCAACGTTGCCCGATGAAGCGCCGTTAACAACGTGTCGTAAAGGATGTGCAGTGCAAGTTCTGAAGTATGACCAAGCTCGCGGAGCTTCGAGGCAAATAATCGAGAAATAGGGGTGAATCCCAGAAACCAATGAGCGCTGCACGTGCTACGGATGGGGGGGGCTTGCTGTGATGGCTGTTGGGGGCGACAAATTGGAACGAGCTTCCCGGAGGGCAGGAAGATGGAAGTCAGACGAATGAGCTTCTATACATTACGCAACATGGAGGACTCGCGAGTGGTGTCCCGTACGGTACGAAATAGCAAGTTGGGAGCCAATCGGGAAAAGGCACGGTGTGGGGTAGTCATTTACAGGAGCTAATCCCACTGCGTGAGTAGTGTCACCATGACCTCGAAGTTGGTTAAGAAAATGGTAGCGTACCATTTTGGGGACTTGGTCATCTGAGACCCTGAGATACTGTGTGCAGTAAGATTGGTTACCTCCACCGGAGGAAAGAGCACCCTCGGTTGCTGTTTGGAGGGAAGATAGACTATTTATTGGGAGAGAGAGGCATAATAGAAGGCCGCAGAAAGGTTTCTGCATGGAACGTGCTCTCTGCCAGTTTGGTATCTCTCTCTTCCCTCGGGCTTTGGGATAATAAACGCAATTCGAAAGAAACAATTCGAGCTGTTGCAATAAACTTCGGTTTGTTTAGTGTCTACGCCTTTTGCCTAAACCTGCCCGAAGCAGTTGTTTCTTGTGCGTGTGCCATTGCGCCCGCTCAAACGTGCACCCACTGCATTTTGACACACGGTATGCATACGATAAAACGTAAAAGGCACATGACTGCTGTGCTTGAGTCTGTGTACCGACGGGACATCAAGCCCACAAACCAGCATGGTTCCACAACAACAGAGTTTAAAAAGAATACTCCGACATTAAATATCGGTCTGGGCTGGTCATCATCGGTCGGTCGGATGGGTCAATTCTGTGAGAGGGGGGTTCCGTCTGACTCTCATTTGTTCGCCGCTCTCAGTCAATTCAATGATCGAGACAATGACACCCACGGGAAACCGGCGAATGGTGGTGCGTGATAGGCATGACACGTGATGTACATGTACATGTAGTCCAGGAACTGGCTAGAAGGCCGCTTCCGCTGGCATTTTCTGTTTGACGAACGTATGCGTTCAAGACGTCGGGTTAGGTGCCCAGGAGGTGCTCAACCAAGAGAACTAGTTGCAGGGGGTGATTTTTTAATTTGATCTTTTTAGCTTTTTTTGTTTGATTTTATTGCTGCAGACATATGTATTATTGCTGTAGACATATGGTTGCGCAATATGCAATCGGGTAAGGTGCATCTCACCTGTACAGATATACAACCTATATCTGTGGTGTCGATATTCGTAAGGACAATCAAGCGGCGTCACACTCTCTAGCAAGTAGCTGCCAACATTATAGCATCACAAAGCACCCATATCGCCATCCATAGCATCCATAGCAAGCCCCATACCAGTACATCACGTTGAGCACTCACAGTGGGTGGCAATAGCAAGGGTATGGCTCAATCAATCTTTCGCTTCAGGGGCGGTGTTGATAGGTAAACTCCTGGTTTTAATTGGGGGCAACCTCCGAGGAAAAGAGGCGTGCACCCAGGCGTCAGGGGACATGTACCCTGGAACCCCTTCAGCAGGCTGGATCGGGAGACATACTAGTCTGTCTGAATCCCGAGCATGTCAACGTACGCCCTCTGGACACTCGCGACCATACCGAGGTATCCATCATCGTATTTCAAGAACCGGTGGAGACGACTGGCCGTACCACCCCCCCCAGCATCGACCGTGGTACAAGGCTATGCTAAAGGACGGGCGCTCCGGTTCCCACACCCGGCTCGACTCCTCACTTCCTAGTCTGTCCGCAAAGGCATCAGCACGTGAAGGGGGGTCCCGATCTTGGACCAGGAGACGGCGATCTTGACACTCGTGGACCAGGAGATGGCGATCTTGAATCCATTCTCCGTCGATCGGTACGATTACGGACTGTGCAAAAAGTAAAATCCACGTGGGGTTTCGGGTGGCCATCCACTGCCGGTACACCCCCCCAGGCTGCCAGACAGACAGTCAGCAGGCTCATGGCAATGGCATACACATTGGTCGTTACTCTGGCAGGGAAGGAAGGATTGGCAGCTGCTCTCATGCCAACGTCCATCTCTCGCTTCGTGAGCTCCTCCTAGTCGCCGTCAGGGTACTTCACTCGCCAGTATGGGTCGCAATAGTCGAAGACGATGGCCTTGAGGACCTTGGGCTGGCCCTCGTCGTCGACAATTTGCGGCCCACTTGTGTACCACCGGGAAGAATCGCAAGGCGTGTTCCCGTGACCCTACTTCACGTGCGCCCCGGGTGGGGGGTCCAGCAAGCCTTGGCGTAGCATCGTCACCATGATAGTCCTCATACGCAGCGTGAAAGACGTCGAGTTGCAGGGGAGAGAAGCTGTCGCTCGTCTCATCTTCCGTCAGCCAGGGCAACAACGTGCCGTCTTGGCAGCGGCCCTGATACTCCCACGACCATGCCGAGGTGTTGCCGGGACCGCGACGACAGAGATGTCGGCGAGGCCGAGGTGAGCTGACCACACGAGGTGTGCGTACTCATCCTCGATCGGGAGCCGGAGGTGGTGGAGTCGCGCGTCGTACATCTTGACATCGGCGGCCGAGACTCGACGTTGGCGTACCCGTCGTCCGTTCGGTTGAAGCTTGAAGCTCAGGCGGTCTCGGATGACGTGGGTGACCCTCCACAGGCCAGTCGTGCGTCAGCTTCGGGTGGTGGCTGTCGCGGTGGAGAGTGTTGCCCGCCTCCTTGACAAAGGCGAGACTTCCGACCACGGCCTTGGCACCCGGCGACTCCCGCGCCATGTTGGCATTGTGGCGCTGCCGTTGCCGGTTGTGGGCCTTATGCCGTCGTTAGGTGATTTCTTGCGTCATGCGCTGGTCCACAATCGTCCTGTCAAGTCCTTGGCCAAAAGAGTCGTCATTAAGGGCTTGGGTCATGGCGTCGATGTGGCTACGCGGCTCCCGACTAGAGAGTATTCGGTATGGTGACGCCCCCTCAGGGAGGGACGCGTCTAACGTGACCCGGTGGATCCACGTGGCGATACGGACGAAGTCATCCCATCGCCGGGGCCATGAAGTACACAGTTGAGTCAGGGTGTCGTGAAGCTACCCCCCCAGCCTCTCGACTGCCCCCTGTGCACGCGGGTGGTTGGGTGGGCCGTAGTTCAGGGGTACTCGCAGCCAGCGACAAAGGTGCTTCATCACTTCCGCCGTGAACGTGCTTCCGGGACCGCATCGGATCGAGAGCGGCAGACCAAACATGAGGAGGAGCCCCAGCAGTTTGTGGCTGACGCCAACTGCTTCCTTCGACGGCAGGGGGAAGGCGGTGAGGAACTTGGACGCTTGGTCAACGACGACGAGTAAGTACCAGTTACCGTTGTCCGAGGATACCTTCATGTCCTGGATGTCCATCTCGAGGACTTCCCATGGCTGGAGGAGTCGGGCAGGCACAATAGCGAGCTGCTTGCTCTACGCTCGCCTCCACCGGCGGCACTTGCAGGACAGGACATACGCGCGGACTTCCTTCTTGAGGGTGGTCCAGTGGTACCTCCTCCCGATCAACATCGTCGTGCGCGCGGTATCCGGACGTGCCGTGAATCAGTGCTAACAAAGCAGTCACGAGTCGTCTGGGCACCGCAATCGCGTACGCGCGGCCCCGCGCGGCCCCGCGGTGCGTGCCAGAGCAAATCGTTGTCGGCGAGGACATACTCGCTGTCCTCTCCTCGTCCGGCTTCCAACTCGCTCCGCAGTGGCTGCAGCGAAGGGTGCTGCCGCTGCGCTTCCACGAGTTTCACGGTGTATCGCAGGGTGTCCTCCATCCGCGCCACCGGGGCGGAGAGTCCACGGCGCAGCTCCGGCGTGCGCAGCTCCGGCGTGTCCAGTGGGTATTAGCAATTTTTAATATGCCGGGACAGGTTTTGGAGTTTTTTACGCGGGCGAAGCCCGCTACTACTACTGTACACGTGTGAAACCCATCTGCGGGCCGTACGCTTTAAAAATGTTGCACTGAATCAATGAAGGAAAGGAGATACCAGAGCACAGGTATCGTCACCGTGGCAGCAAAGAAATCACCGTGCAGATATGCTGCCATGCGGGTTGTTCAACATACCAACGAGATGATTGATGATGATTGCTTTGGGGCGTTCATTCCAAGGAACCGCAGACGGAGTCAAGAGATCGAAGAAGAAGAAAGCAGATGCAAAGATCATCCCGTTAGTTGCAGTGGTCTGGAGAGATCACGGGCGTGCTGACGATATAGACACATGCAATGCGCGTGCGCGTGTGTGTTGTGTGTGATCTCTCTCCTCGCTGTTTCTAAGCTCGTCTTGGTGCTGGTGCGTGACCGTTATCGACGCTCAGTGTGGGTGGACGTTGCAAAACTTCGTACACACAGAGACCAGGCAGGGTGGCCTATGCCGGTTCTATCCTCCTGTGGGTGTGTGGAATGCGCCAGTTGCAGCTCCCAGGCTCCTGGCTGATGATGTGTTGGTCTGTGAACTGGTACTGGTTGGTTCGACTGCGTGAGGTGCCCAGAAGACAGCGGGGATATCGCAAATTTACTTGAAAATAGACAAGACGGCAAGACGCCAGTAGGCGCCAAGTTTCTGGAGACAGCTCATTGACGGACGCCAAGTTAAATCTGTCCAGGCGGCTGTTTGTGCTTTGCGGTTATTTTCTGTAGTCAGCCGCACCGGAAGGGCGTCTGTCTGTCTGTTCATTGGTCAGCGGCGGGTTGAGCCGGGTCGATGCTATGGCTACTACTTACTACTTGCTTTGAAGTAGACAGTAGACCTCCAAACACGAGAGACACGCGATGCGTGTTTGTACGTGCAAGCACGCCGTGCTGTGCCATAGGCAGCAGGTCTGTTGTTGTTGATCCGGAAGCGAGGTTCGGCAGGCGGCAGGAGGATTGATGGTGGGCCTACAGTACATATCTATGCCCATCTATGGCTGGTTATGCTTACTTAGGCCCATTGGCGCAGACCAAAGAGGTGGTTATGGACGCAGACCATATAGAAACCAACACCAATCGGCCGAATGGGGGCATGGTGCTATGTTTGGCTGGCACATCTGATGTGTTTCAGCTTCACAGCAGTGCCTGCTGTCATGCACCATCTGTTTATTTTTTTCCCGCGAGAGTTTGGCGACGACAAGTCGTTCTAACAGTGTCTGTCTCTCATAATAGTCGTTTTTTTTTTTTTGGCGAGAGTTTGACTGGCAACCAATGGTTGTTGTTTCATGTCTAACAGGCACCCCCCCCCGCCCAAAAGACCTGTCTCTCCCCCAACACCGTGGGGGCCCCAACCCCAAACCCCAAACCCCAAACGGCATCGGTGACACGATGCTACAGCAGTATTAGTACAGTAGCACATATCGCCACGAGGAGTACAGCAGTAGGTGGTGGTGGTGTGCCGTCTTATCTTGTACAGCGGGCACTTGAAAATTGAACTCCAAAACCTACTCTGCCGTTTGCCCTGTACCCTGATCATAGACTGTTAACCTCACACTGTGACTCTTGTAGCCGTTTGCTTTGCTACCACTTGACAAATGTTTCGCTTTTGTCCCGCGCACTTGTTCCCTTTCTGCATCTCCGTACACAAGCCCTCTACCATGGTTTCGACCGATCGTGACGTACTGCTTGACCTTTATCGGTCGACCGGTGGACCCTAATGGAAACGCAAGGACAACTGGGACACAGATGCCCGTCTGTCGAACTGGCACGGGGTCGGAGTCAACGACGAGGGCCGTGTGGTCGACATTTCTCTACCCAACAATAATCTGCACGGTAAGCTTGGAATACAACCTAAACGTTGTTCAGACGCTTTCTCGAAAGTATTTCTTGCCCGAAAGAGATCATTTCATGATGATATGGCTAGATGTAGAGACGGTCGGTGCCTTCAGTCGATTCCTCGTCAACGTAGCCGCCGCAGTTCCACCAGGGGTTGTATACGATGCGCTAGTGCTCCACATAACCTAGTCGTAGTCCACACGTTCATACATGTCGCCCCCTTCTTCTTGGACACGCGGCACCTGTACACCACATAACCTAGTCTAGCCTTCAAATGTCTCTGATAGGCAGACGGTCGCCTGATCAATCGTTTTTCGTGCTCCTGGGCGTTCTCGACAATTCCACGTTGGCCAAGGAAACTTAGTGGTTAGTTTCTTCACCGAAATCCATCTCTCGATTTTCCAAGCAATACGACGCGTCGCGAACACTGTGTGGTGACCTCAGCCCTGCAACTTCTTGAGGCGAAATTGAAAGATAAGCTCATCCAGAAATCGGCAATTCTCAGACTCGGGAAGATGTGCCGCGTGGACCAGAAAACGTTTTCCAGTCACAATGCAGTGACGACACCCTCACGAAACGACTCGTTCTAAGATGTTCAGGGAATTACTAGTATACACTGCTGGAGGTGGAGAGATCGCAGTGCGATGACGTTTCCCAGCTCCGGCGGGATGGGACCTGCAGAGAAAGAGGAAATACCAATTTAACGGGGAATAGAAAGAAATGTTTCCCCGCCCTGTAAAATGCTTCTCTCGCGTATGCTTCTTCCTACATGTCATGACCTTCACCTACGGCGTGGGTGAGACTCATGCTCTATGAGGCGAGGTGACAGGGATAATTCCTTACTCTCACCCCGATTCACCTGTTTGCCTGTGCAGGGGCGATGACGACGGCGCTCGGGAAGTTGACGGTGCTTGAGACCCTGTACCTTCGCGATAACCACCTGACCGGTGCGTGCACAAGCTAAATAGCGAGGAGAACTACGCAATATTCCCGATTACCCTAGAAGATGTTGGCCGGATATCGCGGGCGCCTGGATGAACAACCTTTTCACTTTGTCGGAGCGCGATGATTCCATTCCATGATGTCCTTGCACTGCTTGTGCAGGAAGCATCCCGAAGGAGCTAGGTGCTCTAGGCAAGCTGAAGCTGCTTTGGCTCTCCATCAACAACCTTACTGGTGAGGCAGTTCTACATAGTGACGGGTTTCTGTTTCCTAGAAGAAATGTCCTGCGCCCGCGTACACAGGGACGCACGTTAGAATAACATAAATACCTCCGTGACGCGATCCGATTGTTTCCAAGCCTTACTGATATCCTTCTTTTACAGGACACATTCCCAAGGAGTTAGGGGATCTGAGCAGGCTGGAGAGGCTTCGGCTTGGCGGCAACCAGCTGGACGGTGAGGATCATGTCAATTTTGGCTGTTCTGTACCGTGCCCCCCTTTTCTAGGAAGTGTGTCCTCCACACAATTTCGCACGACATCCGTTTGACACATTCCTTACCTGCAAGCTGGTCGTCGTAGAGCACAGTTGAGTTCAGTTTGCTGAGACCTCCCAGCGCCTCGGGGATGGGTCCTGCAAAACGCATAGCAGCAATGATATTTTAAGCTTAGGATGAACCTCTTGTCAAACACGGTTTAGTTGGCTAGTGTAAGCGGGTAGCCTCGTGGGCGAGACACACTCAGGCGTGCTAACTTCCGACCACTACGGATCCGTGCGCTTGCTTTGTTCTATGCATACGGAAGTCCAAAAGATATCAATTCTTTGTTGGTTTGCTAGGCCCAGCAATTAACTTGTTGTAATCAAGAGAAAGACGCTCCGAGACGGTGGCTGCGGGATGTATCCTGCAGATATACAATTCAAGACAACGCATTTGTTGGGATTCCGAAAAACACATTGGTTGTGCCCTGCCTACGTTTTGTTGTAAGAATTGTAATTGTTCAAAGGATTCCACCCACCAGCAACTTTCCCTTCCCATTCTCCTAAATACTTTTCAGGCGGAATCCCGGCGTCACTAGGACAGCTCGACAAGCTGCAGAAACTCTTTCTCAACCACAACAGGCTGAGCGGTGATTGACTCCGACACGATCGGCGTGCGTACTTCACCCGAGAGCCATTGCCAGAAACGAAGCTCTAGAAGATAGCATCACTCGGCGGTAGAATTTGGAAGTCGTAGTCGCCGTCTGTTTCTGTGTGGGTTGTTGCCCAGCAAAAACTTGTTGAGGTTGGTGAGGGCTCCCAGCTCTTTGGGATGGGCTCTGCACTGGTAGCTTGTCGTCGAAGAATCAGTCTTTCGTTTTGGTCGCCCGGGTGGTCTTCCAACCGTAAGCTTGTTGTCGTTGTACCGGAGCGGATGTAGTCTGCCTGCAGATGCAGAGAAGATCTAGGCATTTTCTTAACAAATGCCGAATCTCCTCTCTTTTACGTTGACCACCTTGTTTCTCCCCGAGGGAAGCACCGCAAGGGAACGAAGCTTCCGCGGTTCCGGCGTCAATACAAAGCATGCCGAAAGTGTCAGCACTCCACAGAAAAACATGATGGTGTTCGAGTTTTGGGCCGAAGGTCATTTGCTCGCTTATACCTCCTGGTGCATTGGGGAGAGGTCCCAGCAAGGTGCAAAGTGATTAATAGAGTTATGTGGAAGAACATTGGAGGAACATCCGTCTCCACTACGTCGAAAGATTCGCCACTCGAGTGTCGTTCTGTAGCGGTGATCCATCAAGGGCTCCGACCTTTCCTGCGCAGGTCAGTAAGGCCTGCTGCCGCAAACGAGTAGGCATACGGGTATACCTCCGTAGGAATGACCGGCTGGGACATCTGCCCCGTCCATGACCACCTTCGATTTTGGTTCGCCTTGCTCACAGGCCCAATCCCAAAGGATCTCGGCTACCTTCGGGCCCTCACGCACGTCGCTCTGTTCGACAACGAGCTCACCGGTGAGTGCTCCCAATGATCAATTTCTGCCAAAATCATTTCTTGACACACAGGAGGAAGGAAAACACGACTGTTAATAAATCCGGATAATAAAATCCGGAAGTTGGCTTCTTGCGACATTTCTTTTAAAGCAACCCACGACGCAATGCCTACACTGCTGTGAAGATGGAGCACCTGCTCGGCGCCGAGTTGCCCGTCGCCTGCTGGGTATGGAGTACGTGGCGACGAACACAACGTTTTCATGCTTCCCAGGATGCCAAAAAGGACCTTCCAAGAACCAGCCGGTCTTCTTGCATGCTGCTCGCATCAGGTGCCGCTGAAGTATCGTTTGTTTGCCGATTTTCGTTTGGTATCGGCGTTGACAAATGTTCTGACGATGTTGCCATCCTCTGGGGACCCTTGACTGCTTCGTCGTTCCCGTATAACAGCTCCCTCCAAGCAGTATTTGACCGGAGGAAGTCTCAAGCGGTGGCAAGAGACACTCACAGGTGTGACATTCATGGTGTAGAAAATTGCTTCAATAGTGTTGTGGTGAAATTGTATACTTTCTGTCTGCGGCTTGCTGTTGTGAAATATTAACAAACAGAATACACTCTACCAGCTACGTCCAAGCCGGTGTTGTCTGGAGGAAATCTCACACGGAGACACTCAGGATGTAGAAGGCTTCGAGGTGAACTACGTGCTGTCGTCCATGGCTTGCAGTCATGGATTTGCTAGTCATGGATAAATACTCGGCGTTTTGTTTGCAGGTGCCAGGCGACAGGAACCGTGGGTAATCTCTTTCGTGGACTTCCTCGTCGACCTCTGGCATTTCCTCATACCGATTTTCGACGATGTCACAGATGTAATCCTGCTGTTGACTAAGTTCAAGGATGGTGGTAGTTTATGGTGGGCGTGCTGTGGTGCGCTCGCGCTAGCAGATGTTGAGCGGGTGTTCCTTGTCCTTGTCACGTTGTTTGCTTGTTTTGTGTTGGATTCCCTTTACTCTGCTCGGCACCGACGAATCTAGAGGCCAGCGTTTCGGGCCAGTGTTTCGAGTTGTAAACGGTGGGCACGACTTGATCCTGGAACCTGTTTTAGTGAGGAATGACTTTGATCGTGGTGTTGCTGTTTGAGGAAACCGACCATCCGCGCTGAGATGGCCAATATTGGATGGCATCACGTGGGCTGTGGTAGGTTCACGCTCGAAATCGAGTTCTTTGATGAAGTTTTGTGGAATGGCAGGAAACACACCGGTGGACCAATTCGAACAATCTGGGTTTGGTCTGTCGTTGATAGATAGAATTGTTCACCACCACCCATACAGTGCTCTCGGTCGCGCTCTGTTTTCCTGCCCCCATGGGCACCACCTCCCTCGCTCCCACATGGCCACCCGTAGATCGGGGGTTGTGCTGCGGGCTGTTGGTGAGACGTTGGTAGTTGACTCGCTGTTTTTGGCCCTTTCCTTGTCCTCAGAGACATTTGAGGACGGTGTATCGATTGGGATAGTCTCGCTGATATTCTCACTCTTGGAGTTGGTCACGGAGCTTCAGTACTACCTGGCAGAGGCCAGAACGGACATGGTGACGGACGGGGAGGAAGCAATGGAGCTGGTGGTTCGTGCACCACCTGTCTAGCGAAGACTTGCGGTATTTTGTACATTTTCAGTTCGGCTCAAAATAATCGTAACATTGAGTGGCACCTTGCAGTGGATCCTGTCGTGGTTGTACCAAGCGGATGGATACGACGTACTGTCGATTTTTAGAGCATGCTTGAATCGTTGATTTCCACCGTTTGTGCACGAGGTCCACCATGAGCTCTGGTGAGTGCATGTATGCGCTGGTTCATTTGCATGCCCTTTGAGGCCAGGGCGGCGGGGAGGGAATGACTGTTCGGACTGGGAATCGTTGTTTTCCGCCCGTAACACGCTACAGTATGAATACCGTACGCGCCACCACTACCTCTTTTTTTCTTTGTGGGGTACCCCGCCAGTATAGGTTTTAGTGTGCGACTCTTGACAGAGCACCTGTTCTTTGGGGCTTTTTTGTTTTTTGTCTTGTTTTGAGCCTGAACTTTGTTGGGGCGCCCGGAAGTACTCAGTTTCTAGTCTAGTCTTATATGTCCAAAAATAAGATTGCCATAAAAATCAATAATGATTATGATTTCCAGCAATTCACAAGAGGAACGTCAAGAGACTCCACAGATCATCAGCCAAGAAGGCAAAAACTTCTTCGTGTGACACCCTGCTGCTGTTGCTACCACCTTGCGGGTCCTGGGGAATATCGAACCTTCAACTTTTACATGGCATGCGAGACTGCGTTCTTTTCGTTTGGTGTGTTTTTATGTTCTGTGGGAGAGAGCCTAGCTACCCCCCCCCGTTGCTCGCGCTCGACTTGTCTGTGTGTCGGTCTCTAGTGCCTTTCTTCGTGTGACGCCATCGTACACAAGGACACAAACGGTACTTACTTGAAGTAAAAACCAATTGGGGAAGCAGCCGTGGGCACACGGCAATCTATACAATAAATAAAGAGTTCCACTAATCAACATCATATCAATTAGACTAGAGGCCATCATCGAGCAACGGCATGCGCGTTGGAACGCCAAGATCCGTTGTTCGAACTGAACTTGAAGCAAGAAATACAGAAGAAATTGCTCAACGAGCGGCAGCAGGGGGGGAGGGTGTGGTGAACGGAGGAGATGTAACGGAGCTTAGCGTGACCTTCAAGCACGTGGTGACCGGCAAGCCCAACAATACTTACTGTTGCGGCAAGAACTGTTTTTTATCCACACAAAAAAATTGTTTTTTCGGTGAAACCGAAGTCCTCCGGAAGGAGATAAATCCTTCCGGCACGGAAACATCTCTTCTCCCGTAAGATCCTTGGTTGGTGATGATGATCACCGTTGACGAGAGCAGACCTTACCACCAAGGTCGACGTCCATGCCGGACCCGCCCTGAATCACCACCCTTGTCGCTCTCATGGGTTTTCGGGTTCATGCTCAACTACCGTACTTCTATCACTACAATGCTACAGCGCCTTCTGGGTGCTAGCTGCGGCTGTTTGTACCGCCGAAGTTGCGGCGACAAGATCTCATTTACCAAATTGTGCACCTAAGCCTTTTCTGGGTGTATGCCGCACCCTTTCACACCACGCATCATGCCCGCCTACTACTGCTGTGCGTTGATGCGATACACAGGTCGCCGTTGTTGCATTTTTGTTTCGCCAGTAATGGTTCGGTGATCAAGAATGGGTGCGTTGTCTATTCACGACAGGAGAGTGCAGCACCTATGTGACCCCGGCTTGGGGATCTCTTCGGTTGAGAGACGCACTACCGTACGACAAGGGCTGAGCGGGCGGGCACCGAATCTTCAACCGATTGGCAACCGAAGAAAAAAAATGAAACTGTAAAAAATGCGGAGGAATTGTATTCATCGAGGTCGCCGAGTAATCGCGTCATCACATCGGAGTACACGTCCAGAGATCGGAGGCACGCGTTGATCTGCTCTCCTTTACGGGGAGCTTGATGCGTGTACCCGTGCTGAGTACCACCTGCGTATCTGCGACGCGCCAGAAAAGCAAGCGGCGAACACTAAGGAGCTAGAGCAAGCAGCCAGTGAGGAGTGGTTCCCGCATGTGTTCCCCTGTTTCTTGGAAGGGCCGTGTAGCCCACGACGATGGCCCTTTGCTGTGGTGCTACGGAAGGGTTGCCTCGTTTTGATTGGGTTGGCATCCTTGTTGGCCTACTGCAGCCGAAGGGGGACATTCTCAACGGTGAGGTCCTTTTGGCAGTTCCTGCTTCGCTGCTGATAGGTATTGTTAGCCTCTGATACCAGTACGTGCAGACTATTGCTGTAGGAGAAGTACATGGTCTCTTGAGGAGCAACGCAGCACTACTGCTGCATATATAAGTACTACACAGCCTCTTCCTTGCTGTCGGTAGGTAAGAAGAGCCGTTGACGCCACCATCCACGCGCAGTTTGCAACCCACCAAGTCCGTGTACGCGTAGCTGGACCTTCACGGTTTCACCGTTGAGAATCCACCACGTTCCATGGATGAGTGTCTCATCCATCTGTTTGTGTTTGTAGATCAACGAACACGCCGCACAAACGCTCTGCATAGACTACACCGCCATTTTAGGTGCTGCCGCTTAGCCGTTTAGGTGCTGCCGCGCGCCGGTGGGAAAACAGCGTGTGGTATATTCTGTACCATCGGTGGGGCATCGAACACTTAGACTATTCGCCCCACAGACACAATAAACACGAAATGCGTAACCTCGTTGATAAGAAATAAGCACCGTGGCGAGAGTGGGTGGTCGATGCGCACACAGCACACAACACAGTTGGGACCAGCGGAGGGGGAACACCCCACAACACCCCTCCGTACCACCCCAAACACGTGACCCCGAACACAGCCTTCTTGTGCATGCGTTCCCCACAACAAGAATTTTGATGTTTTGATGTTGACTAATGTTGAAAACAAACGCGAGAGCACCAGAACACGCGCAAGAGACACACAAGACCAGTCGGCATCGCGAAAAACAGAAATCGTCGATTCTCGGACAGGGCGGCAGGACAATAGAGGCTGCTCAAAGCATACATTTCACGCGTCTACCTCCACACGCCTCCTTTGAAAAAATAACGGAGACTATTATGAATTCAAGTCTAAAGAGCAAAAATGGCAGGCGCTCAAATAAGGTCGGTGTTGACTAGTCAAATTAGTACTAATATCACTAGAGGACACCCTGTACATAGCAACGGAGGGATTCTCCCCGATATAGTGTCGTTGACCCAGTAGAGAACCACAGGGGATGTATTATAAAATGTAGGTTACCTATTCAGATGTTTTTGTACTTAGCACCAGCTGGTATCTGATGTAAATCATCAGTGTATAGGCTTAAAAAGACTCGAAATAAGTCCAGTACCCAGCCGGTTTTCCTCCACCCACTGAAAAGACTCCCAACACATCCCGTTCGACTGGGGGGTATATCTCGAACGGGTAGTCTTTCTGTGCGTTAGTGTGACCTGGTAATTATTTTTGCTAATAGCAGCGGGGGGGGGGGTGTTGAGCGCTCAAATCTGCTTCTGGTGGTGATATCGAGGGTCGTAGTAGTGACCTATAATCTCTGCAAATCTCCGTAAATTAGACCGACACCCAGTGTCATGTACTGCTTGTGCTCGCCGCCACTGACCCCAATCTCCTGAACTGTTAGCGGTAGCTGATGCCGCTAGCTACTGCTGACAACTCCGTTCAGGGGTTTACGGTTCGTGGCGGTGAGCACGTCTGTGACAAATGTTGGATGCCGCTTGGTTCCGGCGCAGATTTCGGACTGTTTTCAGAGGCTGCTGCGACCTTCGATATTTCAGCTCCAGTAGCAAACCTAAACGTGTCAGCACGAACGACGCCTGTTAATGGTGTCCTCTACTGATATTTAGTACTAAGTACCAGGTTCCTCCGGCGGGAAGTTTGTTTCTTTCTTTATGTTGGATTTAAGTATGAGAAAAGAGCCAGCGTCAAAACCCCTTTTCTTCGCCACCTTAAGCAGGACTTACGCATAGGTGCAGATGAACTGCTACAAGCAAGCGTAGATGATGTCGTATTTTTCAGGCGGTTCAATGGTTTTCGTGGTCGCATCCGTTCTTTTCGAGATCGTGTGTGTGTGATAATGGATGCAATGGACACATCCATACACGCCGATGTATGCATGCCGATGTATGCATGGTCCTGGATAAGAGACTACTCAAACTACCCGGTTGGGTCCCACCACAATCGTGTATCACGTTACATCAGCACTCACAGCTTTACGGCCGGGTAGGAGCTCCATGGTCACACAGAAGGGTGTAAAGACTATTTGCCGATCGAAGCAGGCCTCCACCTCCGCACCGATGAATGTTCTCCCTGAGAGAAGCAATCCCCCCATAAGCCATGAACTGTCGAATCACTCATGAGTTCATTAGTCCAAAGGGAACCGTATGCATGCGTTGCTGCTCTGAGGCCACGCGAGGTGAGCCCAGGATTCCGTTAACGATGCTAAACGGCACATCTTCTCATACACGCCCGAAGTTGGCATACCTACAACCTACAACGACCCTTGGCCACGTGTTTCTCTACGTTCTACATTTTTCTCTTTGAGCAAAGACGTGTGGTGAAGTGATGGGTTGACGTGCGCCTTAAGCGTATCTCTCTCTATATCTCTCTCACGCTCTCTCATTTCTTGCTTATTGATTCAAATCGTTCCCTGATTCTTCTCAAACTGCTGCATTACTTTATTCAGCGAGGTCCAACGGCAGCGGAAAAGACACCAGAGGGCCCGCGATCAGCCGAGCGCCATGGTGTTGCTGTGGGTGCATTCACGAACGGAGAGAGAGAGGGCGGGGATGGGAACGGTGTGGTACCGTCAGACGTAACGGGGGCATTAGTGGAATTGGAACTGCCGCGACATTTCGATGGTGCGCTCGCTTTGAAGTCCGAGAGGATCGTCTACTGCCCTATCCAGAAGGCGAGTTAGGAACGCTTTGTTGGTCGAACACCGCGTCATTGGTGCCTCGGGTGTTTCCACCATGCAGCGTCCCTTCTTTTGCTTCCCTGGTTGAAGATTTTAACAGCTGTCGTTAAGAGAACATCGACTTTGTTCCGTGCTTCTGCGGATGAGAGGATGCCCAAAAGGCATTGGAGAGTCTCTGGGTGATACGTGTTTGCCGTGGTAGCGGTAGATGTAGCCGCAGGTTGATGCAATGCTCACAGCATTGGTTGCCACTAGGGTGCTCTTGTTTATGCTCAACACACCTCGGAACGACGAAAGAGAGAGACAATTAGAGAGAGAGAGAGAGAGAGAGAGAGAGAGAGCAGTTCCTGTTGCCGACCCCATGGCCAGCTTACAGCTTATGTGGCGATGACGAGGAGTGAGTGGGCGCAAGGAGCGCGCGCGCTCACATCTCACCTCGAAATTACGGTCAAAACTCAAAGAATTATGCTGCATGGCAGGGAACCTCCGATCTCCACCGAAATATCAAATCGTTAGCCAGTGGAAACACATCAAAAGGGCTCCTCTGACAGTCCCATCACGTTCTTCGGTGTTTATTTGCAAGTCGCTGCTACCACTGGTACGTCTGAGGCTCGCTTTTGCTCCGCTGTGGACCACGCCATCCCGCTGCTTTTTCGTTCCATGTGCTGATAGCACCCTTCTACATACAACCCTACAGTAGTTCGGCGTTTTCCACGCGCTGTGTGCTCTCTCGAGGCTTCTCAAGTTTCTCTTTTCCCAAGATTATTTTTCGTTGGAATGCATTCGACCCTGCGTGCGTGTGATGCTCTCTATTCACCGCAGGAACGTTAGGTTGGTAGAAGCAAAACGTCGTGTCATCGTGTGTGGTAATGACTTTCAGGGGCCCAAGGTTCCCGGCTGAATGTTTTTGGTGCGGGGTTGGTGTTCTTTTTTGACATGTGGCTAGACGTGTTCCGCTGCGTCGACTCCGCCGTTTAAAAGGCGAGGCATGGAATACTCCGGTACCCAGCTGTTGTGTAGTATGTGCATTATGCGCGGTCGCCATGTTTTGCCGCTACAGCAGCGCCTTTTTTTTGTTTTTCGTTTGGCTTACGTCTTGCATTCGATATTTTTTGTTGGGAAGGTGGCGTGCACAGAGTGGATCAAGGTGTTCCGCTGGATCGACGGTCACGAGGACTGGGCGGAGCCAAGACACCAGAAGCACGGCCTCGACGTCTTGGAGAAAATGGATGTCCAGCGCGGGAACCAAATTCTCAACAGGTTTGTTGTTTACGCTGTCTGACGGTGTCACGCTTTAGAGTGGTTTGGCCGTAAGCACTTCGATACACCGTCCTCGCTGGCTCTACTTGGTTGGACAAGTGACTACCGTAGACTAAAACCGTGTTGTTTTTTGCCATGATTCTTCACGTTCAAGTTTTCTCCTTACTTATTGGCTGGAAGTCGTACGGACAGGTTTTGCTACGAATCCCCCTCCTCGCTTCTATTGTCGTCCATTCTCCTTCTTCCACTGATTCGACACATGGCACTTGACGTATCCCCCCTGCCCACCCTTCTGTTGCTTCGTCTCATCCCCTCCGTCACTTCGCGCCCTTTTCCGTCTCGTTTGTGCCTTTGTCCTTTTCTATTCCTTCTCTCCTCTCTCCTCCGTCCGTTCTCTCCTCCTAGCCCGGATTGGCTGAAGTTTGCCGTCGTTCGCGAGCCGGCGCAGCGGCTGCTGTCGTGCTTCCTCCAGAAGTGCAACCAGTATAACATGGAGAACGAATACTCGTGAGTCTTTGTTTGGCTTGGTAAATGATGTCCAATTGTTTGTTTGTTTGTTTGTTGGTGAACGTTTCAGAACTCTTGCTTTCTAGCTTTTGGCGAGACACAGCGAGAGCCACGAAGCGGTCGGTGTCAGAATTGGGGTTCGGAAGGACGGCGGCATGGGTGAGCGAGGGAAGGAGGCAGCACGAAAGCGCGAGGAGGGGAGAAGAGAGGCGCACACGGGCGCGTGCGGGGTGTGCTTGTCCCATTGTTGTTCTCGTTGTGGTTGTGTTGCATCTGATTAAAAAAACGTCACAAAAGACTAGAGCAGGCGCAGAGCAGGCGCCAAAGTCGCGTCCAAATACAGAGGCGGTGAGAGACTTTTGCGCTCTGTTCACGAACACGAGGGCAAACAAACCACCACCTTTCGCCTGGTTGTGTACCCGGCGAACTCAAACTTGTGGAACCTAAGAGTTGGTGGTTGAGATTCTCGTTGGGGCGTCATGGATGTTGCATATGAAGGTGTCATCGCTTCAGTTAAAGCTCGTCACAGGTTTGTCAGGGTTTGACCTCATGTCACGCTATTGACAACACGCGTGATCCCCCCGCGCCACTATCAAGTTCGTTGTTTGCGGTATCTTTCTGACATAGCTGCTCGGTCTCGCACGCTACGCGTTCATTGACCGGCCCTCTCGGCGGTATCATCGGGACCTTCACCAACAACCAGGAATTGTCCGTATTTGGAGCTGTGGCCAGACTTGTTCGATCGCGAACGCTTCCCGGATGGGGTGCCCACGTAAGAAAGTTGTCATTCTACGAATGAATGGTTCGTTTGTCTTGGTTAGAGAGTAGGAGGTGATATTTCGGGGCAGCAGGGTAAGAGGCGGGGTACTGTACTGGGATATTCATGTAAGGGAGTGGTTTGTCTTAGTTTGCCACTGAGCGCTCCATCGGAGCACCAAGCGCCTTCGTTATGTACAAGTCGAGCCTCGGTATTTGAGCTATTGATATTAGGTGAGGGGATGCACCGTGCCCGATGTTTACGGTATCTCCTTCTGCCTCCTTCGGGTGGACTCGTTGCTGCAGAATTCAAATTGACACGAACGGAACCATTCGAGATTATTGATGGTGTGCGTAAATCGCCAGACGCAGAAACCGAACCACTATGTATATAGGAAGACGCTCTCGCATTCAAAGCCCGTGGCTGTACAGATGCACCGTAGCTGTCCGCATTTTGCAACGCTTCTTACATTCCGTGTTGAGCTTCTTCACGATGAATACGCGCACACGGGAACAAACGCACGTGTCGGCCGACCCCGCACCGTAGATCAGACGTTTTTTGTGTTTATTTTGGCGTATTTCGTCCTGTTGAGACCGAGATACGAAATGCCATTGGTCAGCCGGTTGGGGAGGTCGATGCTAAGTGAGTACGGCACGCGGACACACGGACACAGGCGGCCAGACGTAGACACGCTTGCTGTTGTGTGGGAGGCGTTCACCAGCCGAGGCAGGGACAGCATGTTTGCCCTGTACGTCGACGTCATCACAAGGAGGATCAAGCAAGATCCTTGCGGGCAGAACAAGTGAGTGTGCCGTTGCGGAGCGCCACTCCTCGGCCGTTCACAATGTACTACCGGCGGTTTGTGGTCTTGGGAACAGGGGGTGCCACAAGACCGCGCGTCGGGCTGGGGCCATTAGGAACGCGGTCGGATGTAGCAATGCCGGGTAGAAACGAGTGGCCTCGTCTGCCCCCTTTGGTCGCTCGTTTCGCGCAAACTCACGGGACCCTCTATTCGCCTCGTTCCAGTCTTGCCTTGTGCTTGTACTGCATTCATTTCTACAAATGGGCCCACACCCCGCCTATCACTAAACCCTTGCGACACCCGCAACAAGCTATTGTGACCGCCTGCCTCGCTACGCTCATGTCCAGTCACTTTTTTTGCATCACCTACCGCATACAGGTGCTGGTCATGCGCACTTTTGTGCCCATCACTGCTGTGCTGCGTTCCCTACTGGCTACAGTTTTACTCAGGTCGCTCGCTGAGTGTGAGCATCGGCTCCGTTGATCTATGTACTTCTCTCGTTGAGCTCCTCCAATAACTACTATACGGTTATCGTTAGAGATCGTGCATAGTTCCGAGACCGCCATTGGTGCACGTGATTTGTGCGCGGGATCCACACCCCGACAGCACCACCTCTACCGCTACTTGTGTGACCCATTCCGAGAGCAGGCACTGGTCGCCGCAGTACTGCCACTGCTCGCTGGACGTGACTGCTCCCGTCTTCCGCATCGTGGGGTGGGCCAACATGACGGAGGTGGCCTCGGCGGCAATCGTGCCCTTCGCCTCCTCCCCCGCACGCGGCCTGGAGATAAAGGAGTTCCTCGTGGACAGGATGGACACCAACCACGAGAGACATGGGAAGAAGACCAGCGCAGGGAGTCGCTCGCAGGAGGTACGGAGGGCGCAGTGCCGTGTGACCCCAGACTTTTCACCGTGCTTGAGCTACATACTCCTTTGGTTGGTGTGGGTGATGGGGTGGTGGCGTGCTCGTAGAGGTAAGAACCAAGAGTGCTGCCTCATGTCGTTGAAAATGGGTCATGTTCTCCCTGCACCAGTGGGGCAGTACGGGAGTTCTTCTGTAGAGCACGAGGTCGGTTGTTGCACGACGTTGCGGACCCTTGCTCTCTTTTTGTTGAGAGATAAAAGAGTGGGAGCACTATTGTTAGCATTTTTTGTAGAACTTCACGTGCATCGCCGGGTGTTTCGGTCTGGTCGTTTGGTATGACTACTTTGTTCCTCGCCCCCCCCCCCCTCCCCCCCGGTCTTCTCGGCCGCCTCGCAACCATTTCTCTCGTTACGGGTCTGCGTCTTCCTCTTTTCCTCCTTTCGCGTGGTCTGCATCTCTCTCGCTCCCATTCCCACGCTCTCTGTATTTTTGCACATCTCATCTTTCCGCCCCTCTCCCCCCGACTCGCCGCCCCTACACCTCCCTGACTCTTGTGCTTGTTCCGCGTTTTCGTGGGGTGACCGGTCCAACACCTTCACACCCTGTCTTGCAACAAACCGCACAACGACAACGACACAAGCAGGCGTATACCACGGAAGCGCTCCAGGCAGTTCATGAAGCTTACGCCAAAGACTACGAGCTGTTCTCGCAGTATTGGGACGAAAATAACTGAAGATTGAGGCGGCGCCGGGGAGGCAAGGATATTGACCGAAACGCCACGTTTTGTTGTGAAGATCTCTCAGATCAGGGTAACGTCAGGAGTCCTTCATGCTGTCTCCGCGAAAGTCTGAATAAAGGTCAAATACCGCTGACGCTGCGCTGTGGGGATAGATGTATTCCTTCGCCAGCGTCGATCAGTTTGCTCTTTTTGAGGGGGTTGTTTCCCTGATGATGATTTTGTTGAAGCAATACCGCCTACTTCGAAAGTTCTATGGAGAAGGGTCACCGTTGGGAGGACATGACTTCCCCGCTCTGACTCAACTACCCCAGAATTTGGGTGGTCGTTTGAAAATTGCGCAGCGGAATCCGTGTTGGTTACCGTACAGGATTTTTTTCACAGGTCCTGTAAACGTTTGTCCATGTGTTCTAGATATCTTAAGTTTTAAGGAGGCTTTTCTCGGGTAGCGATGAGTTGAAGCACTAAATACCCCCTCATAGCGCAGGCAGCACATGCCTGCGTATGAGTCAAGTCTCTCCACGCAGTCAAATTTGTTGGCAGAGCTGTCGTATCAGTAAGACCGGGCTTGTCCAAGAGTGGTGGGGGAAGGGAGGGCGATGGCCATAAACAAGAGGAGTTTGTGCATCGTCGAAGGACGAAACTTGATCCATATATGTATCATATGGATGTTGTTTGTGCGTTTCACGAAGGTCAACGTTGCGAGCGGGGCGTGTTAACGGTACGAGGCCAAACCCACCCGCAAAAGAAAAATTCGAGAAAAGTGCACTGCTGTAGCTTGTAGAAGAGCGGGTGTTTTCCCTTCAACGGAGTGCGAGCACTTGCGTTGTGCACGAAAATGTTTTCTTGCATCTTCTGCACGCGTCGTTTGTCTTGCAGAGTCAACATTCTGTCGGTTTTTCTTGCTCCCGTGCCGATCATGGGAGTCTTGGAGTTTTGCTACCGATTGTAAACAATCTATCTCGATGGAGCGGTGTGTAGAGCAGTGGAGACGTCCCGCCGGTAGATTTGTGAGGCCCCAACCTTGGGGATTCCTGCTGTCTGGTGCAAAGCTTGGGCCGTGTGATGTGGGAGTTGTATTGTGTGGTTGGGAGGGCTCGTGGAGGTGTAGCGTGTGCGGTGCTTCTGTCTTCTTTTTGCGTGTGTGTGTGTGTGGCTGCGTTGCTGCTTTCCTGCGCGTGCAGCATGCTGCACGCGTTCTTCTATTTCTCCATCGTGCATCGACCGAGTTTCGGCGAACGTTACCATGTGTGGTGGGCCACTGCTGGAGCGGGGTTCCCCTTGTACAACCGTTTTTTATGCTTCTGTGGACCTTGTGTTGCATTCGTGCGTTACAGTCTTGTTTTTGGTGTCTTTGAATATGTTTCGACCACCTTGCACGTGGCACACCTGAACAATTCCGTAGATACTGGTCAGAGTGCGTGTTTGCTGAGTTCTCCGGAGGCATCTGACTCCTGTGGGGTGTTTCTCTCGCCGTGTTTCGTTCGGCACGTTTCTTTGTCATTCTGGATGTACGTGATGTACGTGATTTGGCTTCTTCATAAGAACAACTCGAACCTTTCCTGAAGAACTTGTTTTTGTGGCTGCTGCCTGCGTGAAGCTGATGTTCTCCTGCCCAAGCACTTTGATTCGCAAATCGCGGCCGCCTTCTCGAGAAAAAAGATGTTTTTCTGTCGTTGTTTCTATTTGCTACAAAAATTGTTTGTGCTCGCCATGGTCGACAAGCAGACTAAAACACTGTCTATCGAATGTCGAACGACGGGCTCTTCGTCTAAATGTCGTGATCGGACTAAACACGACCTTTCTGTTGCCACCGAGTGCAGAATCAGCGTCGTGGAAAGCAGCAAGTGACTACAAGCAACACGGTGCAAGAGCTACCATGCACGGGCTCCACATTCGCCGCGCCTGGCTACCGAAGCGAGATTGCTGTGCTTAGCATTTAAGTATTGTTGGAAACCACATATATATTGCGCTCGACCCCTTGGGTGTGTTGTACGAAACCGAAACCGACAAAGTTAGGACACGAAAGCGGAGATCACCAAACAGCACGACACATCTGACAGACACCGCAACCTCAGCAAATGTAGCACGGCTCCCAGGCACTCGCGACCGCTTTGACACATAGTTGGAAGTGGAACGAACATCGCTGCGGTGTCGGAATTTGACGACCTACGTAAGCATTAGATGACCATCACGAGAATAGGTCATCATCGTGTACAAGTCGCGAGTCATCTGTCTACCGACGAAACAGGGAATTAGTCTACTTCTTAGCGTTGGAAATCAGAGTACGAGCACTTCTATAATAGGTGTTGCAAACTTACTTATACAGGAAACGCTGGGGGGAATGGAAGAGGGGGGGTCCTTTGCAAACAAACATGTACACAGGACGGCACGGCAATCAACGCCGCCGTTCCTACATGTAGACTTTCACGGCCCACCAATTCTACAAACGCACGACGCGAACACGACGATGCCTATTTAGTATCTCCCAACCTTGCCGTAAGGATAGTCTACAGGTTGCTTGGTGGGACCACCATCGACACCGGTGCTACCATGTGCGGTGCCCACCCCTCCGGCACCTGCAGTACCATCCCCCCCTGTCGGCGGGCGCAAGCGCGGCGCGTACGGCGTTTCCTTGTACGGCTCGGACAGCACCTGCACCAGCGGCTTCTGCCACCTCGGCCGGGGCCAGAAGTCCAACAAGTTCACGTCGAACACGAGGGCTGCCCGTGGAGGGATCGTCGGTGGATGCCCCTTGTCTCCGTAGCCGTACAGGGCCGTCACGAAAACCCTCGCCCGCTCCCCATGCAGCATCTGCCGGATCGAGCGGTCAATTCCCTTTACCACCTGCCCCGCCCCGACGACAAACTCGAGCGGCCGTCGCCTGTGCTTGCGGGAACTCTCTACAACACCGGCGTCACCACCGCCGTCGTTTCCGCTGCTGCCATAACCACTTACTGCGTGGGAGCCGCCGCTTCTTCGGCTGCTCCTGCCACTGCCGCTACCGCCGCTTTCCTGCAGCGCGCAAGTGTAGTGAATGCGCACGACGTCGCCAATATCGGGCCGCCCGCGTTTCTCCTCTCCCTCAAATATGATCTTGCGTTTGTTGTCACGGATGAAGAAGTTGCGGACAAATCATGCGGGTCACGACAATCAGGGGGTCAAGGCAGAGGCGAACGGAGAGGCCAGGTGAGTCCACGGTACTGTAAACAGTCGCCAGGTGCTACAATTTGACCACTATTGTAGCCGTGCGTACCTGTTTCGGCAATTCGAGGAAATTGTAGAAAAATACGAAGATTTAGAGAGGTTGTTGTCTCTCATGCATATTTATCGACAAACCTACAGGAGAGCTTTCACCTATTATTCTCTTTTTGTGCCCTCCCTACCCATATTGGTACACCCCCCCCCCCCAATCTTGGTCCCCCCCCGCCGGTGTTTGCCATCGGGGTTGGGTTTTCGTCGCTTGGCAGCGATGTTGTAAAACAAGCCGGTCACATCGTGAGCTTGGCTACCAGGTTGCCGGGTTTTTTTTTGCCTTTGTTTTTTTTTGGCGGTAACCATGAATGGTGGTCGAGTAGATCATGTTGTGCGGGGTCGAGAACCCTCACTCCGCGCAACGGGGGATGATCGCACCACGTTGTGTTAAATTGGTCAAGCATCCTCGAGGCAGTTACACAGTGCTTAAACTGTCTCTGGAAGTGAAAGCACCAGAAAATAAATTAAGTCATACGCAGCTGTCATCCGTACGCAAGGAAGTAAGCACAAGATGCCGAACACCCTTAGCAGGATGCAGCTCACCCTTCATGCGACTCGCCGAATACCTCACGGCGCTTCGCGCTTGGTGATGTGAGAGCCTGGTCCGGCGAGAACCCGGCGTGCTCCGTCCCGGCATTGTAGGGATGCGAGGTCAATGGTCTAACGACTACGGCATGCAGACTATGAGTACACCCCCCCCCCCTCCCCTACCCACATTGGCAGCAGCGTAGAGGGTAAATTGAACGAGTGCTTGTGCGGCACAGCTCGTTTGTTTGTAGTGTATCCGTTCGTGCTCTCTTGCATAATTCTTCGCTTCTATACGACCCAAATATTTTTATTGATTCGGAAACATACGGAACAGTCAATGAAAAGGCTGGCAAGCGGTAGGCGGGTCAGTGTTTCGCGGTGGAGATACGGCTCCAGACGGAGCCTGCGTAGCAGTATTTAAGGAGGCGGGGAATACATAGGGCTTCTGTGGATCTGTTACGCATGGCGCGACGTGTGCCGCATGTTACGTACCTCTTTTTTTATGTTCTCCTCGTCTCGTTGAAGCTCTGCGAGCTCATCCTCGTTAAGATAGTCTTGGTCATCTACGGCCACGTCATCTTCGTCGTTTTCCTGTCCGGACTGAGTGGACAAGCCCACCGCAAAACATTTTAGACGACGTGTACACAGTTTACGAGGGGAAATGCTCGGAAACCAGGAGGTCTTGCACAATTCAACTGATCTGAAAGTTCACGACATGCCTCAGTTTTTGATTTGGAGTTCGAAGAAGTAGTGAGAAAACTGCGGGCAACAATGTTGGTATGTCCTCTCTCACCTATTTTCGTGGTCAAGCGGAAAAAATGAGGAAAACATTAACTGTAGAGAGGCCTTTACATGGTCTCGTCCTTTCCTCAAATAGTGGTGCCGTTTCACGCGTTCGAAGCAAATTTGTCACCGCGCGTTAATATCACTCTGTACCGGTGCACGTATGTGTCTATTCTGCAAGAGAGCTCTCCCTGCTCGTGTAAAATGTATACTGATATGATAGTCTTCTGTCTCACGTCGTCGTCGTCATAGATGTCGTCATCGTCCAGGAGTTCCGAGGGCGTGTCGGAGCCGCTCACGTCCGACGCATCCTCTTCGTCATCGACGTCCCCAGCCTGGAGAGCAGGCCAATAGAGAAGAACGGTGTCAACAGTGTACAAGGGTCGGTTCCGACGAACGGACCAACAGTAGGGAACTCCAGAATACACAGAATATGGCAGCAAAAAGAAGGAAGCGGCCGCGGCGATAGCAGCAGCGATGAGAGTTTCAGCCACGGTGGAGGAAGCAGCAGAGGTAGTACCGGTCGAGTCGAAACCCGAGAAAGAAGGAGACGACCAATCAGAGATGGCATCGTCTCTTTTCGGCAGAAACTGGGGGAAGACCACAACCACAGCACTGTTGTAGTCGCTCTATGTTTTTATTTCGGTTGTGGCGTTCTTTGACATGGTGTTCTTTGACTTGCCACAACACTACACGCTGCTGCCCCTTCTACCGCCAAAATATCAGATCAACAACGAACGGCATCAAGCCTAGGGATATTCTTTTCGCATGAAACGCGCCTGACCTGCTTCCGTTCGAAGCGTATCCGGTACTCCTGCATCGCTACATCTATGCGGCGGACGGTAAGCGGGCTGTGGATACCCAGGTGTCCCCAGTCCTCGTTCATGAGGTGAAGCAGGAGCAGTCCGTCGACCTGGAGAGAAGAAACCGATTAAAATGCTTCCTTCACGGAAAAATTTGCTGAAACCACATTCTGTTTACGGTCCTGGTAGGTACGTAATTTAGAGCAGTCGTCTCGATCGCCGTGAGGACTGTTCGAGAGCTGTTAATCAATTGTCTAGCAGCTATCGACCGGTTCAGCCTTTGACCGCTTCACTGAAACGGTTAACCGAAAAGTGCACGCCCGTGGTTATGTCCCGGTTGTTTCGCAACAAACGTCGTACGAACAACCTTTTGGAAAGACATTGAGAAACGAGTGTGCCCGACAGCTTTTCCTGCCAATTCCGTTGACACGGACTCAGCAACGGCAAAATTTTCCCGAGTCATTCAATTCACAACGTTGGCGCAGTCTTCGTTTGCAAGAGTTTTTATTCATGCCGTATCTGAAATGTTCCTGTCGCTTCGCATGTCACACGGCAACATCACTTCCGAGCTCTCTGGTTTACCCCACCTGATGTTCCCTAATGCTTTTGTCGTACTGGTTGTGACCGATGCTTTGAAACCATTCCACCACATCTTCCACGTTCCACTCATCCATATGCCTGCTCCGCCCTTTTGCCTAGTACGGAGGCACGGGGTGAGCGATGAGGGGTCAACGGGAAGCGAGGCAGATGGATGAGAGAGTGAAGGATTGATGATGATACACAAATGCATGAGTGAGTCGGTTCGTTGGTTGACCAACAACATGCCCTTCTTGTAGTAAATGAACAATAAAGCAGAGCCGAGTGCGCAATCGAGACTAAGGTGTAAACGCTTGCGCAACAACGAGGGGGATGGCATTGCGTCGGGGTAGGCTGACACCATGGTTGGTGTGCATGGCTGCCTTTACTACAACCTGGGAGAGCGTGTTTCTGGCAAACACGTCGAAAATCCCTGACGGTCAAACACTTTGGTGCACGTAAAAGCTTTTCAACTCGATTCTCGGGTGTTCACGAAGGCCTCATCACCGCTCATCGGTGCGTGTGCTCCCGTTGGTGATGAACTTGTTTCACCAGAATTCAACACTAACCTCGTCGGCGTCTAGCTCTCCTTTCAGCACCATCTCTTGGGCTATCTTATCCTCCAGCGCTTTCCTTGCCTCATCTGCTTCTCGCTTTTGTCTCTCCAGCTCCTTCTTCAGCTCTCCAATCTCTCTGCGTCGACGAAACTCAATTTTTACTTTCTTTAGGAGAAGAATATTTTCAGTAGGTTGGGTTGCTTCTTGTTTCGACTCAAGTAAAGGAGTCTGAAAAACAGCTTATGGGTGTCAACCTATTTTCTATAGGCGAGCACTATCAAAACAGCGTCATGTGATTCACCGTGTACTAATCCGCGTTCGCACGACAAATTTCTCGCAGGAGATGGAAGAAGAGTGTCGAACAAATGTGAGAATGGATAGCTACCGGCACGACGTCTGTGCTACCATGGAACACGCACATTCACATGCTCTTACCTCTCCTTGTTGAGAAGAGCGGCATCGCTCGTGTTTGTGGGGGGCTCCCTGAGTCCGAAGAGAATCGGTTTATCCCACGTCGTTTCTTTTGTTACCTACACCAGATCGTAGCACGCCAGGTAATGTGAACGAGCAACACACGGCGAGGTGCGGGATGGTTCTTCTCTACGCGTCACACGTCCTATCGACACCATGTGCTCTCGTGCGCGCATATATTTGCTGCGGACAATGAGTTGTGGCAGAGTATGTCAACATCGGAGACAACCTCAGAAATAACAACATTGCTTCTGTCCACTATGAGTTATCACGTCCCTAGTATCGAATGAGTGAGGTGCCATCTTCACTCCATCTTCACTTGTCGTGTTGCCCGCCCCAAATCGACGTATCACACCTTGTTGACGTAAAACCATGCGTCAGTGTCCGGATCGTACTCCTTCTCGTACACGCTGTTCAAGACCAACATGAGCTTCTTCCACGCATGTCTTTTCCGAAACAGACCTTGCACTTTTTTTACAGCCCATTCTTCCTGAAAAATACGGACGAGACATGAAAAAGACGACAGAGAGAGAGGTAGATGATACGAGACGCATAGACCGGACAGCGAGAGAAAGGAGGAATGGCATTCACCACCTGTGAGCAGGCGCGAGCCCAATTAGAGCACGTGGCGTCGCCCAATCACCAACTGAAGAGATCGATTCGCTGTTTGATACGAAGGGGTGAAGGAGCGAAGTGGAGCAACCCACGGAGGCAAGGGCCCGGGTCGTATGCCGCCGAAGCATACGCCCTGCTGTGCGACTGTGACCCCGAGCGTGGTGCAAGTCAGTTTTGACCGTTTGAACAGACGTCCGCTACATCCTTACCCATGCCCACAATCGTTCAAACGGGGAGTTAACAATGACCTCGACTCTATATGATTAAGTGGGTGCGCCACCGACGTCTTCAGCACGACTGCTCGTTGTGATATATTCCGGTAAGGCCCTTGGTGACGAAAAATCCTTCAAGCGAACTTACCTTAGGGTCATGGGGGCGCCCCAGGAGAACCCTGGGAGGGGTCCACTGGCTTGTACCGGTGAGTCTGTTGTAGTAGAAGTAGCCGTCATTTTCTTCATCGAAGACTTTCTCATACGCCTGCCGGACGCGCTCCACAAAATATTCCCTCGCCTTTTTTCGCCGGTACATCCTAAGGCGAAGTGGTGGCGCAAACCGTACGTGGGATAATAAGACTGAGAATTAGTATTGGCGTGTTGCCGTCGGTTCGCCTACGGAAGTGGCACAAGTAAGTTACGGTAGCACGCGGCGATGAGAATATTTTCGAATAAACCTGTCGTCGGTTGAAGTCCAGAAATGCACCGAGTAGAATGCGCAGTGCTTCCGATGATTTTGATGTACCGTGATGCAGACTGTGCAACGATAGTTTCTGTTTAAACGAAGTGAGCGGTGAACTGCGCATGGGCGCGTATCGATGCGCTACTTTACAAGGCCTATTTTGTAGAGAGCGGCAACAATACGGCAGGTCCGAGAGAGCCACCTTGCAACATGGAATACGCAAGACCCTCGACGTCCGGATCTTGGAGTTAGTGAATCTCACGTGATCACAGCCCGGGAACTTAAACGTAGCAGCACACCGGAAGACAAATACACCTTTCTCTGCGTCTCAACCTCTGACACAAGAGTGCCGTCTTTGCGCGGCAATCTGAACAAAAAAATACACTTTGTTTGAAGAATGCCACCTCAGCAGTAGGTTTGAAGCTGTCACCCACTAACAAGTCTACAGTCGGTGCTCCCGGAGCCAACGACAAGGCAGGAAGACGTCTTTGTTGCAGTGCGCTTGAAGACTGCCGTGTCCTACTGTAGCCTGATACTCCTGCTACTCAGTACTGCCGAACGTGCAACCAACCAGATTATGTAGTACTCTAGTCCATAAGGCTTTGGACTACAAATCGGCCACCCGCGCCTACCCTTGAATGACGGCGGCCGCCTGCCCAGGAGACATGGGAAGCCCTGCATCCACCTCGACCTGAGAGGACGCCTCGGAAGCAATGCTGCTGTCCCCATCGAATCCGTTGGAGGACCACTCCGACCTGTCATCGTCGTCGTCTTCATCGCTCCGTGAGTCCGAGCTACTACTGCGTACCATCTTGTGCTATTGTCACACGCAAGAAGCGGCCGAGTTGTTCAATGTTCAACCTCCTCTCAATCCTGCGATAATTTATTCACCAGGATGTCAAACGGCGGAAGAGTACGGTCTTGACGCAAAGATCTTGCAAGATCGCAAGTTTACGTTCAACAGCAGCGTGGTTGCTCCCAAGGAAAAATGAACGGCATAGTGGGGCAAGCGGAAGGAACGTTAATCATTAAATGCCTCGGGACATTTAAACTTTAACCAATTGGTGTTCAGGAACCAATAGTCTAATGAACAATGTGCATACGTGCAACACCGACGCCAACGCGTCGATCGACTCCAGCATACAAGAAAGAACCGTAACAGCAGCGGAGTTCACCTCAACCAACGGCAAGCTCGTGTCGCCAGAGCCTGTGGTGAAGAGAGCAGCAATCAGTACTGAAACAACGCAGGTTGACTTCCGCCAAGCTTTGACCGAACGCGTTTAGTAACGTCCACGGGTGCCTACAGCAGTAGTTGTTGTTGTTGTTGTAGTGCCTAACTCGAATCGTATGCATATCATATCGTAACGGTTTGTGCGGCGGAATATGCATACGACTCCCGTCCGGACCCACCCCCCCTCAGTCGTGGGAGGTATACTCACGTATCCCCCGCTAGCAAGCTGCATGCAAGTTGGAGCTGCGAGCGGTGCGGCAGGCGCGTGGTGGTGCGCAGGAGGCAGGCAGGTAGGAAGCTGGCCGAGGTGCAGTATACCAAACCACCACCGCACAAGTTGGGCAGGTTACAGTGCGCACCCGCGTGCAGATGCTGGTGCTTCCCCGAACGTCTGCCGTGGTTGCATTCTTCAGCTCCTGCCTTTGGGCCTCGGTGTGGGAACGGGCTCTGCTCCAGCCAACGAGGGCGGGAGCATTTCTTCTTGGCAGTGGTGGTCCGACCGTGCTACTGCCGAGGCATCAAGCAGCGGCAGCAGTTACAAGGCATGCCACTAGGTCACAGCAACGCCAGTCGAGCGCGAGAAGAGGAGGCTCCGAACCGATGATGTGTCTGCGAATGGCTCCCAGCCAGCCCCATCCTACAAAGGTCGCCTTCCAGGTGAGCAGTAGCGGTTAATCGACAACGTCCACTAACAGCTCTGTGCCTAGATAAGGTTAGTTAGGCTCGGTCGGTGGCACGTGCCTCGTCGGTGGCACGTGCCTGTATATATTCCTTGCAGAGAAAACAAAAATATGCATACAACAGTTTTTTTCATCATGAGGGCCGCGCTGTTGGGCAAGTCGATTGTCGTTTGTTGGGCAAGTATCCCACCTCAACCGCCCTGATGCTGATCTACGTCTATGCCACATGATTATGAGCGAGCTGCTGCACACCTCCACGCGTCAACGCCAATCTATGTATGTGCTGACCCCCTACTCTTCAAGTGTACAAGGTCGACCACTGCCAACCTGGCTCCGTAAATATACATGTAGTTGATGGAGAGCGTTGTTTTTCCTGACCCTCTGTTGAATCGGCGTTCATAGGGACTACCGTAGGACCGTACATAAGTGCCACAAGACACCATGCCCCCTGAATTGAATTTCAAAGCTCGACTTTGTACTCCACGACAAAGAGCATGCGAAAATAGAATGACACATTTTCGGAAAGATGTCGACGAGATGATTCCGACGTCGCCATGTGTCTGGTCGGCGGCACCGCCACTCTTTTACTGCTTGTGGAGTAATCGAGCTTTCAAAATCGTCCAGGGGGTGTGGTATCTTGTGTCACCTACGGTAGCGTATGGACGGAAGTCCAGGGACCCGTGCACTCCAGCAGTTCTGTAGGCAAGAGATTTGTAGTGTGTATGTCTGCGTTACTTCTGGGGTGCTCCTACCAACACCTCTCGCGCTCTTATTTAGATAATATATGACGCCAGTAATGCTGTACCTTCCGCGCAGTTGCCGAAAAGTCCGGTTTACAGACGTTTCCGTGTTCTTTTTAGCTCCAATGTAGCTGATGCTGTGGATTTTCTTGTCGCCGTATGCATAGCATCGCGAGAATGTTGCACGAGTTTCCTGAGTTGACGATTTTGCAATCGCAACCGCACCGTACAGCAATGTGCGTGCACACAGCACTGAAGGAGAAAATTCTGCCACCCACTTTTCGCACCGATCCATCCTCCCATTCTACGAAACTGCTGTGCTTCCAAGGTTCCCCCCCTGTACAGCAGTACCTGCAAGGTGTTAGCAATCAGTTCTTTTCGGTTGTTATCGGAACTTGGCTAGTGGCGGTCTAGTGGTTAAACTGCACGACCCCCTTAGCAGCTGGTTGCGGATGCGATCCTCCCTGCGGAGTTTTCTTTTCCCGCGGGATTTATTTCCGGCGACCTGTACTAGCAAACGATCTACAGCAAGTAGGTCATTATTTCAAGCCGGTATCCGATCGCAAATGATGAAATTCGTTGAACGGATTGATTGCCCGTTCATTTTTTGCCTTCGGAAATCCTCTCCACGCGGGCGAAACCATCGATTGCGCAGCAAGTACTGGTCGTAGCGATAGCTCATCAGGGACTCCGCACAATCCTCGAAGCACTGCTGTGCTTGGTATGTGGTTGGTTGTCTTGTGGCCAGATGCGCTCTAAGCAAAACTTGACACACACACCGCTTTGTCAGACCCACAACGAGACAACATTATCATAACACACACAAGCACATCGATTGACAACAGTGTTCGTCTTCTGGCTGGCTAGGTGAACCCTCCTGCTAGAAAGTTGCCGGAGGTGTAGCCTCCATCAACTGCTCTCTGTCGGAGGGCTTGTGTCAGTCAATGTTGTTGATTCGGTCAGTGGAGAGGGAAAGCTCGAAAAACAATATTGAACCGCCGGTGACACGAAAACCTGTCCAGCAGTGATCCTTATGTCATTTCGAACAGTAGTCGACCCTTGTCAGCTTCGTTTCCCAACCTCCCAGCGCCTCACGGTCTGTAACAACCACCCCGCAAGAAACACACTCGCACAACTACAAGGCGGATGACTTTGTTATTGCTGTTGTTGTTTCAGCCAGTGTAGAGAATCCCCGAGAATACAAGCGGGGATGTGGTGTTGCAGGTGGAGGCGAAGCTGGTGGGAAAAGAAAAATCAAACGGCGGCGTTCCTTAGCCAGTCCAAGAAGCCAACCAACTGCAACACAAGAATTATACAGGAGTTTTTTTTCGGACGGAAAGTTGCACGCACATTTTGTACTGCAATTTTCGATTAGCTTAGGAAACGGTCCTTCGAAGCAGATATCAACAAAGACAATTTCGACTCTATCTTACTTGTTTCTGACCGCCAACCTCCTGTGTCTATCATCGTATATAGAAAACAAATGCACTTGACATCGAAGACCTGCCAACAATGTTGATTGAGCATGGCTCAGAGCTGACGAGATGTTCGATTTCACGCAATGCCTACCGTGATACAAGCACTTATTTTTGTTTCGCTGTTGAACGGGTGTCAGGGCGAGTCGGGCGCCTATTCGGAGAAGTCGCTGCGGGAGTTGCTGGGAACGGAGGTGGTGGCCGTGGCACAGGAGTCTTTCGAAGATGCCTTCAAGGCGGTGAGAGAGAAACCGATGTGCATGATACCAACACGTTATGTTGTAACGAAGCTGTCGCCCAGAGGTACCCGGCCCTGTGCCCCGGACTACTAGCTGCAACCCGTCGTATCGATGTCGGCAACAACCAGTAGCTTCTGCCACGCGCGCGTGGGGGGGCTCAGTCGGCGGGAATTTCGCGTCTGCTTGATGTTCTTGGAAGCGCTTCCGACAGCCAACGCTTGCTACATCTTTTGAGAGCTTTTTTGCCTTCGTCTTCGATGTTGTGAGGGGTGTACTGAGGGTAGGCCATCACGTCTCGTGGTTGTGTGGTTGCTACTCTCTTCAACACCCGCCGCTGCTGCCTCTGCTGCTGCCGCTGATGATGATGATGCTTGACTGATTGTTACGAAAATTTACAACCAACGAAGGTAGCCCGTCGGGAGGTGGAGTACGCCGTTATCCCCATCGAGAACTCCCTGGGAGGCTCCATCCACGCCAACTACGACTTGCTCCTACGATACGAGGTACAGAAGGGGAGGGGGGAGGGGGGGGGGCGTACTCATTTGTTGCTTGCCGTAGTCATTTGACCATTGACCACGCGTCCCTTTCGAGACGGAGCACCGTTCCTACACCTACTAGAGACACCACCAACATTTAGGGGGGGGGGGTGTACTCATAGTCGTGCATGCCGTAGTCATTAGACCATTGACCTCGCATCCCTACAAAGCCGGGACGGAGCACGCCGGGTTCTCACCGGACCAGGCTCTCACATCACCAAGCGCGAAGCACCGTGAGGTATTTGGCGAGTCGCATGAAGGGTGAGCTGCATCCTGCTAAGGGTGTTCGGCATCTTGTGCTTACTTCCTTGCGTACGGATGACAGCTACGTATGACTTAATTTATTTTCTGGTGCTTTCACTTCCAGAGACAGTTGTAAGCACTGTGTAACTGCCTCGAGGGTGCTTGACCATTTTAACACAACGTGGTGCGATCATCCCCCGTTGCGCGGAGCGAGGTTTCTCGACCCCGCACAACATGATCTACTCGACCACCATTATGGTTACCGCCAAAAAAAAACCAGAGGTAAAAAAAAAGACGGTAACCTGGTTGCCGAGTTCACGAAGTGAATTGGCTTGTTTTACAACGTCGTTGCCAAGCGACGAAAACCCAATCCCGATGGCAAACACCGAGTGGGGGGCTTGTTTTACAACGTCGTTGCCAAGCGACGAAAACCCAAACCCCGATGGCAAACACCGGGGGGGGGGGAGGGGGGCTTTTGGGGGCTTGGAACAAGAAGCCGGTTCAGTCGTTGTCATGCGCGGCCGGTCGGTCTAGCACACGTCCGTACTAGTAGGAGCCGCCAAAAGTCCTTCCAGAACCCCAAAGCACAGCGAGACCTTTTGCACCCATCCTCGAAGCCGGGACGAAGAATGTCGTGCTTTGTCGAGTATCATGAAAGGTTTGTATCGGTATGTGCTATATGATACCTTCGCCGACAAACATAAGCCTTGTTTCGTTCCTTTGGTCCGGATGGACGGATATAGGTTGGCGATCGCGTTTCGGTGAAGTGATGGTTTTTGTTCGATCGCTTGGTCTGTTAAACATTTGTTGAAGCGCGTGTCGAAATCGGGCACCTCAATACTGCGACCCTAATGGACGGCAAAAAGTAGATGGAAATATGCAAATGCTAAACTCTCCGGAGTTTCTCGCTCACACATTGACCTGCTGCTCAGTCTGCGATAGTCAAAATAGACCAGACCCCGTTTCCATTCTCCACTTGGGACAGCAACACCGCACTATGGAGGTCACCTCACATCGCTTTGTCGTGTTTATGTGGAACTTGCTTCTTTTTGGAGACCGAAGGGTGCATGCAGTTTCATTCGCTTACACGGCACTTGAGGCATCCCGATGCGATTTAGTTTGTGCACCCATTTCGTAGCTCTGTAGCGTTTCGAGGACCCAAATATTTTGTCGGTTTGACGAACCACGGCGGAGATTGGGCGAACGGCCTGGAACGGTTCCGTCGGTCTACGAAAGATCGTTCCCGTCGTCCTCTATTGAGCAAAAAAACGCCGGACACGAGAGTAGCAGGAACGGTCCACACCAAGCAAGGTTCTTCGTAAATGGTTCAGAATATGCTCTTTTTTCGCTGCCCCATTGGGAGCTGCTGTAGCTTGGCCTCGTTTCTTGCCCCTTGGAGTATGACGAGTCCTCGTGTCCGACGCCGCACGCATATATAATGGGACCAAGAATGGCAAAGTTGATCCGACACAGCAATCTCGGCGAGAATTTAGGTACTATCGTGGTCTACCCGGTGTTGTACGCACAGCCGTGAAGGACCATTTCTTGTGTATTTTTTTCCCGGTGAACATCGCAATAACGTTCTTCGTAGGTAAGCACCAATCGATCGAGCGTCCCCAACCCCGTGGTCGGAGAAACACGGTCTCCCTTACTGCCCCTAGTACACTTGCGGGACTAAAGGAAGTACAGCTAAATACCACTACATTGTCCTCTGTTCTTGCATGTATTTTGCTGCCCACCCCAAAGTCGGGTAGTGGGTGCCCTGGATGCATCCACCCACACAAAAATGTACAAAAACTAACAACACAGCAAGTCTAATACATGAAAAGATTAACACAAAGAAAGCACGTCTTGATCGCCCCGCGATGGCGCACGACGCAGCCTCTCATTTCATTGTGGGATTGCGTTGCCCATGGCGTCGTCGAGTGGGGGTGGCCCAGTCGTAGCGATACGGCGGGGCTCCTTTTTCCCTTTCCTCTCCCTTTTTTTGTTGGGTCGCGCTCCCGGCGAAATCTTGGGGCGAGAAACAAACGAGAGGGAGAGAAGGGAAATGCGAATAAGAAGCGTGCAAGAATGACCTCTAAAACGCGGCGCTGTGTGTACAGTCCTGCTCCCCACCCCGTGAGCAAGTCCTGAAGATTCAGCCGCGACATTTGTAAGCCTTGTGTGCACCACCATTCGTTGGTGCGTTGCTTGTTTCGTACGAAGTGTATCTTGACATGCTCGGCATTCCCGGCCGAGCATTGGTGCTTTTCCGACGTGAGCAGATTTTGTGTTTGTGCTATTTAGCGCCTTGGCCCCCTACCCAACAGCAACAACGAGCAGGTTGAATGTCAACAGCTCAGCAACGGCCCAGGTAGTTGTAATTCCTGGACAACATCGGCCCCGGTGAACAAGAGAGGGCAGCTATTAATAGCATACGTACCGAGTCCTCCTCCTTCGTAACGCCGTGACGCATCACCCGAACCCAACCATGAATTTTGAGCGACACGAGTTTTGCTTGAGAAAGCACGTCCCACCACCACCACCGTCATCATCCATGCACGTATCTATAATAGTCCAACGCCAGCAGTGTGTGCGCCTTGCGTGTGAACGGCCTTATCGTCGCGCGGGCAGCTGTACGTGATCGGCGAGCACGACTTCCGCGTGGAGCACTGCCTGCTGGCCCTCCCGGGGACTAAGCGGGAGGACGTGAAGAAGGTCATGAGTCACCCCCAGGCGCTGGCGCAGTGCGACAACTACCTCAGAGGGTGCGTGGTATTTCCGTGCCGTACTGCTGTAGGTGTTACGGGGAGGGCCCCCCGCCGGGGCTAAAAGAGTGAACCGAGGCGCGGCGAGTGACAATGTTGATACCGTCGTGGTGTAGTACCCGGAGTATGTCTTGCTCGGTCTCGTACTACCTCCCTGGAGTGATTCACCTCTCTCGGTGCTCCCCGCAACTCTAGACTTTTACGGGGTTTTTTGCTGGTGTTGCTGGTGTTGCTGGTGGCGTTGTTCCTCTCGCTACCACCTCCCCGGAGTGATTCGCCTCCAACACAACAGATCGATAAGAGCGCGTTTTTTTTTTCTTCTGTCTTTGCTGATGACGCTGGTGGTGTTCCTCCTGGCTGTCGCTCGGCAGGATGGACGTGGAGAAGGTGGCCATGTACGACACCGCCGGCAGCGCGAAGCTCATCGCGGAGGGCAAGATGGAGGGGTGCGCGGCCATCGCGTCCGACCTCGCGGCCGAGGCGTACGGCATGGAGGTGCTGGCGTCCAACATCGAGGACGACGACATGAACTTCACGAGGTTCTTGCTCCTGGCTCGCACGGTGAGGAGGGGGGTGTTTTGTTGAGATACAGTGGCGAAGACAGGCAGGCAAGTCGTGTAGAGAAGGAGAGCATGCCATTCCGAGCGACTAACGGGTTCGAAGAAGAGCAAGGATGGGCTCACGTTCGGTGCTGGCCTCTTTATGTCTCCGGGCCGATGGAGACGCATCTCGTTCGAGCTGCTCTCGCGTCCGCCCCGACCGAGAAGGTTATCACTGCGTAAAGTGGATTTGTTTCCGTCGTTTGCTATGGCGTTGTTTTGCTTTTTGCTCTTGGTGTTTGTTTCCTCTGGACCTTGTTCTCCACCTCAATCGTTCTGCCTTGTTGTTAGGTGGCGCGCTTACCTATGTTTTTTTTGTAGCTCTGCTTCGTTTTGGTTTGGCGATGGAAGGCTCGAAGTAGTGGGACGCCCAGGTCAATCAACTGAACGAACAATGCACACTATCATATTGTTATGAACCTTGCTGTACCGTACCACTTGGCAGCCGGTGGGCGGGTTTCTGTCGCCTGGCGTCGCGGCCAAGACCAGTATCGTCTTCACGCTCCCGAACTCGGCCGGCGCGCTGTACAAGGCCTTGGCTTGCTTCAGCTTGAGAGAGGTGAGGTGTAGAGGCGATGCCCTGATTGTTGTTTGTCACGAGGTGAGCCAGCTAGCTAGCGATCGCGTTGCCGTGGTTGTTCTTGCTCCTCTCGTAGCTTTCGCTGTTGTCGGTGTTGATAGTGGTCGCAACCTATCCCTCTCTCTCGCTCTCTCTCTCTCTTTCTCTCTCTCTCTCTCTCTCTCACTGGTGCGTTGTAAGGAGATGCTTGGGTCTGTGGTCGTCGTCCCTTCGTGTAGTGTAGTCGGCAATTAACAATGGCAGCATGGGTGGCTTCGCGCCAATGCAGTATCTGCCCGATTTCCCAAAAAAACACCGCAAGCTTGATTTCACGTCAGCCCCCACCCGCCTCGTCCTCGCCGCTGTTTCCACCCGAGCGTCGGTTGCTCTCTACTGTAGCCGTTCCTTTATGGAGTGTATTCTCATTTTCACGTGTATTTACCCTTTATGGCGTGTATTATGATTTCATGTTCCTTATCCCCCTCCCTGCCCCCCGCGTCTCCCCCCTCCCCCCGCCGACCTCCCCGAACACAGATCGATTTCTCCAAGATCGAATCCCGTCCGACGTCCGCGCAGCTGCTTCAGTACCTTCGTTTCCAGCAGACAACGGAGGCGGGCGGTATGGGTGCGGGGGGGGCTCTGAGTAACGACCGCACCAACGGCGAGGAACGCCGCTTCCAGTACTGCTTCTATTTGGTACGTGGTGGTGTGATATTTCATCGGCGTGGAAATCGTGGTCACCTGTCGACGAGTTTGCTACGGCAGGAGATGTTTCTATTTGCTTTTTTATGAGTTCCCCGTGCCAGGCAAGTCTCGTTGGGGACGGGGATCTGATCGTCTTGTTTCTTCCAGTGCGAAACGTTGATCCTTGTAGTGATCAAGGATCGAGCAAGCACGCGGCACCCTCATCGGATTTCAAGCACGAAAATTGCTCATCAAGCATGCCTTCGAAATTCTTACTACTCTTCCAGTTACCGACGGAGCAAAGTCATTCGGCTGTGAATAGAACATCGTATGCGTACACCAGGCGGCATGCCGGATGTTTGCTTCTGACGACTGCTTGCGTCACAGCGATTTGGTCGTCTTGTCTTCTCTGCCTGCATAACACATGTGTGTCGTGTCGATCTGGACATAGCCGCCCGCTGAGGGGATTCGGCCCCGGCCGGCGGTGGTTTTCAACACGAAGCGACTGCAGCAGTACGCATAGGAAAGAGGCATGTAACGACACTTCGTAAAAGCAACGAAATTGCTTCCGTACCGTCACAGGACTTTTTGGCGGGGGAGCTTGACGACAAGGCGCAGTCCGCCCTGGCGCACCTCCGCGAGTCGGCGCCGTTCTGCCGCGTGCTTGGGTCTTACGCTAGGGACAGCACCCTGGTCGGGCCGATTAGCGACACGCTCGAGGCGCTTTCCATGGGTATCGGCAATGGGGTGAGTGTTGAGTACCCCCTCCCCTTTGTCGACGCCAATACCATCGTGATCATCGTCGTTTTCGACAGCGACAGCGAGCAGCAGCAAATCACAGAATACGTTCCGTGCCATGTTTTTTTGGTTTCACTGTTTTCTCGTCCCGTGGTGCGTACCAGTGTAGTCGATGAAGCCGCTGCGGTACAGGGAGCCAGAATCATGTTTCTGCAACACTTTGCTTTTCTCGAGACCTCCTGCTACTGCGTCTGTCCTTGCCGCTTTCCTGCTGAGGAGCGTGCCTTCAATGTTTTCTGGATAAGGAAGGTTGAGCAGGGCAATCCCCGTTTCCTCAACGACATTATTATTATTCCGAATTTGTGTAGACCATATGCATCGTACAACGCACGAGACGAGCGGAGTTGTAGCTTGTGACCCAGCATCATGCTCGGTACTCAACCTGGCCATCAAGAGGTTTTCGAGTGTGCGCGTAGTACGTTGTGTGCCAGAATAACGTTGTTGTGATGGTGTTGGTGGTGACGGCGGTTGGGCGCAAATGTTATGACATTGTGGTTATAATTGGGCGGGTGCCCTCCCACACACACACACACACACACACACATGCTGCCCCCTCACGGGGTCCCAGTTCATGGCAGATAGAAGTGTGTGTTGTGTTTTCAACCGCACTAAGACTGACGTCTTTTCATTGGTCAGCCGGTTAGCGCGGTCGATGCTAATAGTAAAGACACACACACATACACACCTCGCTGTACGTTGAAAATAGCGAAAAATAACTATCCATTGCCGTGACTGGCGATGGCACCGTTGTTGTTTGCACAAATCCCCCCCCCCACGCTCTCCAAATCCTGTTGACAACACTGCGACGTGCACAGGCACAAGGAGCAGCAGCAGCAGCAGGCGCAGGCGACGCTATCGCCGCGTCTCCCCGACGAAGCGAGCGCCGTTCCGGGGCCCGGGCTTCAAGACGCCTCAAGATTGGCATCATTGGGTTCGGCAAATTCGGGCAGTTCATCTCCCGGAAGTTCGTCATGGACCACGATGTGGTGGCCATGGGGAGGGGGGACTACACCGCCGCCGCTGATGAGATGGGTGCGTCGTTGCTGACGGTGCCCGTGGTTGTTCTTGGGGCCGGAGGTGGTTGTCGTGGCCATGATATATTGATAGTGTTGTCGGTGTTTGGTGTGCGTCTTTTGTTGCGACTTTGTCGCTGGGCGTTTGTTAGTTTTCTTTTCCCGGTGTAAATATAAACCACACGTGCTTTGCTTGAAAGACGAGCGTGTAGTTTGCCTCAGTTGTAGCCAACCCTTCGATGCTATCTATGTTGACTGCGCGCGGGCGCTGCTCTCAACAGGCGACGTACAGAGCGTTCGTTAGTTAAAATACACGAAGTATAGTCTGGAAGTTTGCGTGATATTTTCGTAAATCCTCACGCGCCACAGCAGCGACGGGCATCGCAAAAAGCAAGGCGCACAACGAACGGAAGCAGGAGTGGTGCGAAACGCGAGGAAGAACTGTGCCCACGCTCAAACGCGCATCGAACCAAACGTCCTATCGCACCGCTTGACAGGGGCGAAGTTCTATCCGCAGTTCGAGTCGTCCGACTTCTTCGCGAACGACCTGGACGTGGTGGTGTTTGCTGTGTCCATCTTGTCCTTCGAGGAGGTGCTCAAGAGCATCCCGCAGAAGTTCCTCAAGGGGAAGCTGGTGGTGGACGTGCTGTCCGTGAAGATGCACCCCAGGCAGACCATGCTCGAGACGCTGCCCCCGGACACTGACATCTTGTGAGTTCCCCTCCCCCCCCCCCCCCATGTTTTGGAGTGTGTTCGATGTCCTCCTGTGTTTGTCCGGCCGGCTCTTCAAAACATACGTTAACCGAAATGTGTAGTAGACTTGCGCTCAGAACGGACGGGACCAAAGAACGTACACACACACACGCCTAGCATAGGACTGTGTTCCTGAGCGAGAAAAACCGTGTTCTTTTGCTGTCTCGCCTCGCAATATAGATGCACCCACCCGATGTTCGGGCCGGAGTCCGGGGCCAACGGATGGGCTGGGCTGCCGTTCCTGTTCGACCGGGTCAGGACGAAGAATCACGCCAGAACGGCAGACTTCCTGTCGATCTGGGAGGGGGAGCGGTGTAAGATGGTGGAGATGTCCTGCGAGCTGCACGACAAGTATGCCGCAAACACCCAGTTCATCACGCACCTCATGGGCCGCATCCTCGGCAAGCAGGTAGGTTGGGTTGGTTTTCTCCTGCCTTCCCTGTGCAATATAGCCCACGCCACGCAAAGGCGTCTTGGGAAAACTGTGTCCTCGACGCCGACCGATGACTTTGACGGCTTCGCACCCACCACACAAGGGTTCGCTACCCTCTCCTCCCCTCAGTCTTGTTTCCCATTCTCTACACGAACATGTTCTCGTGTTCCACACCATTTGCATCCAACAACTCTGAAGAACAAGTTTTTGATATTGTCTCCATTGAATCACGGGATCGTTTGGATATTTTGGCCTCCACCAAGCATACAACGAATAGGCGTGTGGGCGTTCATCATGTGTTGATGCTGGAGAAGCGGAACCTCGAAAAATCGCCCCTCTTGTTGCCTGTTTTGCGCACTGTTGTGTTTGCGCCTTCCGAACTCACAACCCACATGCCCCGATGTTTGTCCATGTTGATGCACCAGTTGGCCTCTTGGTGTGCTGTGGTGGAAGGCAATCCTCACCTCTGAAATAAACATTTTTTAATAATTTTCCGTCTTTGGCCTTTCTTGCCTTCCGTCTTTCGACGCCCCCACACTGCAAATCATCCCACCCAAAATCACACGCCATCATAGGGGCTTTCGAGGACGCCCATCGACACCCAAGGCTTCGCCAGCGCGCTTCGACTGATGGAAACCACCTGCGCCGACAGTTTCGAACTCTTCTACGGGTTGTTCCGCTACAACCCGCACAGCCATACCCAGCTGCGGAAGCTGCGGGACTCGTTCGCGGAAGTGGAGCGACAGGTGTGTGCGTTTGTACGTTCAGAAGAGAGATAGATAGAGAGAGAGAGACTTATGATGATGCAGCGGGAGGCGGGGGGGGGAGGTGCAAGAGGGGCGGGAGAAGACAGCTATCGTTGGCTTTGGGCGGGTGTTCCATCTATCCGCTGCTGCCGAATTGTCCTTTCTTGCTCCTAACGTTGTCATTGTCGTGTGTGTGTGTGTGTGTGTGGGTGTCCCGCTCTCGCCACTCCTGCTCCCACTTCCAGCTCGCCGCAAAGGAGGCGTATCTGCAGGCGAAGGCCGAAATCGCCGACGAAGATCGCCGCCGTATCCTCGCCGAGTTCCGCACCCTCATCCAAGAGGCGGCCACCACCGCTGCCGAGGCCGCTACGGAAAAGGTTGCCTCCACGGCGGCGGCCGCAGCCGCCCTGGCTGCGGCCGAAAGCGCCGTTGGAAAGGCTGCCGGCGGTGCCGGTAGTAGCATTAGTAACGGCGGAGTAGGTGACGAGCCCGGGACCGACATTTCCGATGAGGATGCCGCCGCCGCTGTTGCAGCAGCGGAAGCGGCAGCTAGTAATAGTGATAAAGGTGTGGAGGTGACGCGATGACGTTTTGGTTTTCGGTGCCGAGCTGTTTGAGCTTTTGCGTTTTGTTTAGTTGGCACTGGGTGTGGGATATGGCAAGGCGTGTGCATTGTTGCTCTTGGTAGTGTTTTTTCAATGCTCAGAGGCGTGATACTGTGGGACGATGGAATCGCACGTGGCAGTGGGACGGGGTAGCAGGAGGTAGAAAACCCGATGCAGATGGTTGCTCTGGGGCAAGGACCATGAGTATCACTCACTGCACTTTGCGTATCGAGGATAGTGAAGCCGGAAAAATAAATTTCTGTGCCCACACATACACATGGTTAACCCCCGGGCCCGTATCTGTCTGTTACAATCTTCAGTTAGAGAGGCAACGGTAGAAACGGCGAGGGATGGCTAATGGAGGCTGTGCCGCAGGGGATGACAGAAAACCGCCTTGTTTTGTTGGAAAAGGCGCCATCAGCAAGACCAAAATAACAGTTTTGGAAACGTCCGTGTGTTTTCGTCGAATCTTTTCCGGCGCCAGTCTACAATAATACACCTTTCGGTGTACATTTCGGACGAATCAACCATGGTCACATGGACAGGAGGAAGGTCGCTTTTTTTTTCATTGCCCCCTCTATCCTCCTGCGGTATAAAATTGCCCTAGTTTTTTTTGGCGAGAAGGGTTCAGCCGTCGAAAGTTCCTCGTTTTCCACCCACAAATTGCTCGGAAAAACCGTCCTGCACCCCACAACCCGCTACAAACAAGTGTTCGAGGTTCCCTACACTACCGAGGGCGGAATATGTGCGGTCAGTAAACAATCAAATGATCGGTCGCACCGCGATTGATGGTTTTAGGTTTCTGTACCCATCCAACGACTCGTATGCGGCAATGTGTGACCCAGTACGACGTGCGACGCCGACAGTCTTTAGATGTGTATCGTTGACATTGCGCATGACAGGTAGGTGTACAGATGGCGTTGCCATATTGCACACAGGCTTAGCAAGATATTAATTGAGCAGAGGAAATTGCTGATCCGTCGTTGATCGCTGGACAGCAAGAAACGACGTGCTTTGGAGTCGACTCTTTCAAAGCCACCTGCTGGAAAAGGCTTCAGAGTAACCGGCCCTCTCGCTTCCTTGAATTTTTCCTTGCCCATCGCACGCAACTAGATTGTATTCCCTCGGTAGTGGGCAAACATGTCCTAAACGACCTGGGCCTCCTTCCAACAAGGGTAGCCTGTGTCCTTTGGGGGGCGACGAAGATATTTTGACATGCACCGACTAAAGAATGGCTCCGTCCATCTCACGGTCAGCCAGAAGACGAAGTGTACCATACGATGCGCCCCCAAACCCGCCCATGCCTGACTGCCTGCCCCGTCCCTGCTGTCGCGCGGAGCATATAAGCCTACAACAAACGCACCCCCCCCAACGCCCAAGCAGCACAAACCCGCGGCTTGCAGGACCATTCAACATCTCTTGCGCTCCCTGACACGATAGGAAAAGCGTTCATTTCACTTTATCCTCATCCGGAAAACTACCGCGCCAAGCTTGCTCTCCTCACCTCCTGTTATGCACAGGTTGTGCAAGAAGTAACGCGAAGCTCACGCCAAAAACAGTGGCCCACAGTGGCACGCATTGACTTCGGTACCTGTGTACGTCCACTGCACGCACGCGCCCCCCAAAGGTTCTGGCGGTCAACGCTACGGCGGTCCGAAAACTCCTCCTTTATCCTCCCCCCAAAGGTTCTGGCGGTCAACGCTACGGCGGTCCGAAAACTCCTCCTTTATCCTCCTCCTCCTCCTCCTCCGCGTCCTATCCGTAGAGGGTCCTCTGGCTATACGACAATCTCTTCGCTGCTCCCCCTGCACGAACTTAGCTCTCACAGATGGTATCGTACTCATTATGGTATCGGACCTCAGTCGCGACGCTCTCTGTCCACGTGCGGTCTTGACTCATTCGGACCATATCTCACGCTCCTCCCCTTCCTCCTCGTCTCCATCCTCGTCCTCTTCCTGCAGTCGATGAGGCAATACGGCCATAAACCTTTCTCCTTGGTTCTCTTCTCCATCTCTCTCTCCGGTAGACTCCTGCTGAGGTGCCTGCGGTGGCAAGTCCGTACGACTCGATCCAGCGGCGGTGTCGATGTCCTACCCGACCCCCAAGAGAGAACCATCGGCCGGGGCCGCCGGAGTCGAACCGTCCGAGGGAGCACGAGTTCCATCGCCACAACCACCACCCTTTGTGGCAGGAGCGGTAGCAGGGGCAGGAGCCGCAGGAGCCGCAGGAGCGGCAGCAGCGGCAGCGGGGGGAGTAACAGAAGCGGCAGTACGAGAAGCAGCAGTACCAGAAGCGGCAGTGACAGGAGCAGCAGAGGAAGGAGTGGCAGTAGCAGCCGCGGCGGAAGCAGAAGGGGTAGTAGCGGCAGCCCCGTCCCCTGTCCTCGCCGAGAGATCTACCGAGGACGGCGCCAACGTTTTCGGTCCCACTGCCGCCAGAGCTGGAGCTCCAAAACCACCGGTAGTGGCGAGAGAAGATACGTATGCTGTGTCGAAGCGGTTCAAGCTGCCCGGGCCCCGTGCACTTGCTGGTGGCCCAGAGGCTGTCCTGGACGCAAACGACGGAAGAGCACCAGCACCAACGCCGTCGCCACAGCCAACACTACCACGACCACCGCCGCCAACACGGACGGTAGTAGCGGCAGAACCGCCCGGGGCAATCTCCCCTCTCGTTACCGCCGCTGCCACCACCGTTGGTCGGGCTGAACGCGCTCCCTAAAACAACACGAGTTCATACGACATTCGGTTTGGCAGTTCGAACAAGCAAGCGTCACCACGTGCGGCGCCAAGTTTCCCATGTGATCGTTTGAGGTAACACATGGGACATACACACCGTCATCCGCACACCAATGAAAATACCTTAAGAGAAGGTACCACGATTGAAGATGCATACGGGCAAGGATAACAGAAATATTCGTATGGGAGGCAGTTGAGTTGTACACGCGGGATGTTCACTACATAGTTCAACTTTCGGCCAAAGGTAATCAGGAGTTGTTGTTGACAACGCTCGGGTGCTTCCGTGCCCGATCCAACGTACCTGGTACAAGTGGCAGCTGAATTTCTACTATTTAGTCTTGTGAGTGAACACGCACGAAGGTTCGTGCAAAAAACCAACACGTCCCGCAATCAGTGTGTTCCAGGCAGGCTTCGCTTGTTGCTACTGTACTCTTGCTCCCCTGCTCCAACACCGCGCCCTCTCCTACCGAAAACCGGTTCGCCGGGACTGTAGTGACTGCCGAGGCACGCTCGCCACTCCACGCTGTGCCAGGAGCAGCGGCGGAAGCCGGAGCGGCAGCGGCAGCGGCGCCAGCCTTAGGTTCGAAACCCACCCAAACCCCGCTGCCCCCCCCAGCTTCGCCGCCGTCGCCACCATCACCAAGAGCAGCATCGAAAGGGGCCCTCTCAGATCCCGCGTTCGCGACAGCTTCAGGGGTGCTGAGAGGGTTCGAAGCGCCAGGGCCACAGGCTTCACTCGGGGGCAGGGCAAGAATAGGAAGTCCGGCGGCGGCGGTGGTCACCGCGGCCGGGCTTGGCCTGTCGGCTACGGCCGTGGCGCCCGCCAGAACGTCCAGATACTGCGACAGTAAAAACATCACCAGATATTTCGTTGAGCAGCATAGTGTAACGAGCGCGAGAGTGCACACATGATTGCCGTCATCAAGAAAAAGGGTATCGAGAGCAGAGGATATCACGGGCGTCAGAACCACTTCCAGCTCATCAACTTTGGTCCACACCCTACCGTTGGATTTGTCATGAATGTCTTGGGTTTCACGCCACCGACCGTCAGGTAACGTATCACCACGAGTCCTTCTTACAGAGGTACTCTCTTGACGGAGAGGCGGTAGGTATGGTGTACCCACCATTCGCTTTCGCCCACATGCCCTACGACTTGTGTTCCCTTCTGTGTCGTCAACTTTGGGTTCAAAACAATCTACGCCAAAACAGCATCCGAGCTACTCAAAACAGTATCCGAGCTGCGCCCAAGTCTGGGCTCCAAGCGCCTACTTTGTTCAAGACGTCACAAATTGTTCCTTACCTTTTGCTTGATCTTGGTATCGAGCACTGCCTCGACAGCCTGTTGCGTGATCTCGGTAAAGAGCACTGCCTCGACAGTCGCCTTGATGCTAAGGTCCTCGACGCGCGCCCTCAGGCAGCAGCCGTCGAGCCACAGATTAACGCCATAGGCCGAGACTGCGTGCGACAGATCGGCCACCAACGGTGGCTTGAAATCATTTGCAGATCCATTCTTCCAGCTAACCGTTTGTCTCATGTGGGCTGCGTTTGCCTTCAGGGGCACGCTGACGTTAGTCGCAGCCCACTGTCGCACCGCTTCGCTGATGGCGTTGCGCTTCAATTACAGTAGTAAGGACCAGCGGTGAGGGGGGGATCTGGTCAGTAAAACCAAGAGACTCGGTAGTCCAAGTCTAGATATCGCCCACAAGCCTGCAGCACGAGTGTCGGTTGCCATATTCGATATCTGTCGTATTTCTATGCCAAACAGAGTGAAAACGTATGCAAATATCGTTATTCCATCGCGTGGGCGTGGTTTAGGGGGGCAAACAAACAGGAACGGGAGGGCGATTGAACAGCACACACACTTGGGACGGCTAACCGATACCTCATTTGCCACAGGAAACGCGAGTACAATGCTACTCTGTCGTGACTTGTCTACCTGGTGCACCTGGTAGCGAGTGGTTGTCAGTCAACAACGACGACGCCAGCTCACAGGCGCCCACGTGGAGAACTACGTGGAGAACTACCGTCAACTCACCACCTTGCCCACGGCGCTCTCCGATGTCTCCTCCCCCAGGCCCAGCACCAGCGCGGACGATGTTTCCCACACGGGGATGACTTTGATCTCTCCGGTGGCACCTCCTCCCGCTTGGGCAAAAGCTTCGAGCTGGGCCGGCGTTGCCAAGTTGCGCATGGCAGCCGCGTCGATCATGTCCACCTTTGCGGGCAGTGAGGGTTTTGTACGAGCAGGTGCAAATGCATGCTGATGCTACTCGCGCTTCTGAGCAGCAAATGGCGTGTTGAACATGCGGGACCTATCTATTCCTGGGCACTACACCGTGGTTTGGCATGTGGACGTGAACCCTCACATCAGTTTGTACGGTCCGTTTCGCACCGAAAGCCCTCAACAGCAACATCCTTCCCCCCCTCCCCCCCATTAGGCCCAAGCACTTTGCCCTCGTGGACATGAGCCGGCGCTAGAGGCTTACCGTTGCGGGTCCTAACACCATCCTACACAAATTGGACGTTGCTCACCAACTGGACGGAACGCGGAAGCGCATTGGCGAGGGAACTCGCGATGCTGGGCAGGAGCGTAGCAATGATGGTTCCGCTCCGCTGATGTAGCACGACCTTTCAAGAAAGAAGCATCCCACGAGAGCATAGCAAGCAAACGATCGGCGTGGCGTCGAAAGACATTGCCCTAAACAACGAAAAATGTCAAACTGAGATCTAGATGAAATGGCAAGAGCGTCGTCACGGAGAGAGCGGAGGCCTGGTGTATCTGACCTTGCGCTAGCAGCTGTTACGACACGCCTCGTGGGAAGCCAACTCGATAACAAGCGTTGGTGGTTCGCAAACACATAAATGTGGCCCGGACAAAACGACACGAATCGTACAGTACTGAAAACAACAGTTGAGTAGTGCGCAATAATAACATCCCGGATGCCAAGCCTCCGTAAGTCAGCTCCAGGGCAACTGCGCCAAGCACGCCGAGGACAGCCAGTGACCAGTTGTCAGTAGAAGACGATTGAGAGCGGCAGGGGTCAAGGATTTGTCAATGAAACCATCAGGTACTACAGTACCGTTTTCGGCGCACGCTATGCGGCTCACCTTTGTCCCTTTCACGGTGCGAAGCCATCCAGTTTTCTGGAGTTGTCTCACACGACGCTGCCCAAGCCACAGAGATTTACGTTTGTTGCAGGGGCAGACAACCAGACAATCTAGGGCAGCCTGGACACCGTGGTTCAGCCCCCACAGCTGCGCAACCATTTCATCGGCCGCCTCCACGTTCGGTGGAGCAAAGCTCCGAGGGAGGCCGTCATCTGATGATGGCGGCTGGGTCCGAAGGCAATTCGTGTTCACGTTAGCACCAACAACGCCGTAGACGGCAGACAGCTCCTGCAGCTTCTTGGTCGACGGGTGCGAGGTATGCACGACCGAGAGCAGAAACCTCGACGTCCGACTATCCTCTCCGTGGGTGGGGAGCCTCACTTGGACCAGCGAGAAGTCAGCTGGCTACGGGAACGGAAAAAAATGGCGCAATGAGTGTAGGGGAAAAGCGAAAGAGGCGGGGGGCGTAGCGGGGAGTTGTAATTATAAGGAGGCTTCCGATACGGTCGCCTGTAGATCTTCGTCCTAAGGACATGAGGAACGGGAATCGAAGGTGTCGCAATTTGATGCTCATGAAAGATCTAACTCGGATACCAAGAGGTTTACTGGCTAAACCGTTCCTCTTCAGGCGTGCCAAACGTTCAAGACGAGCACCAACTTGATGAGGATGATGGCGCTTTTACCGCCGTACCACATGAAATTGGCCGGTGATAAGAAACGAGAGATATCCAAGTAGGCAATCACGCACTTCACTCAGCGCTGCTTAACTGATCCCATTCTAAAGGTCACCAATCAACCGTTGCTAGCACCTCACCGTAATGATGAGACACACGTGCGTGTAAACATATCCGTTCTTCGTTCCGAAAGGCACACGTTCAGGGAATAAACAACAAATCAAACATTCACGCTTTAGTCAGTTCTTACGCTGCCTAAAAATACCTGTTTTGGACCGCCAGCGTTTGGACAAACATTGTTGAGACAGCCGCATCCTGTCCGAAATTGTACATGTTTTGGACAGGATACAGGCTGTCTAACAGCGTTGTTCATAACGTTTAACCGGCGGGCTCTTCAACATCCCACAGTGACATGGTGGCTTGGAAACTGCATAAGCCACGTAGGTAACTAGTCCTCACAACCCTAGCGGTGGCCACACGAAGTTCATGTGACTATTGTAGCTCAGAGTGGCTCAAATCCCTTCAGCCGTCGCTCGTTTGGTTCAACCGGACCCGAAGAAAACCAATGCGAGGTGTGTGTCTCGCGAGCCCAAAGGGCTTGTAGCAGCAGCGGTAGTTATTTTTTCGCATGCTCTTAACTCTAGCCAACTCAATTTCTGAAGCTCCTGTCTCCCTGGTCTTTATGTCTGTATCAACCACCACCCACGATGCTTATACGCTAATGATGTAACTGTTGTAGTTATGGCAACGAACTGTCTCGTAGACAATAGGCAGTGGTGCAGAATCCAACATGTTTGCAAGTGGTGCGTATGCGGCCAAGAACAGTAATTGAGGGAGAGTGTTACGCTGTCCCGCCTAGACGAGGCTCATTTCATGCCAGAGGTAGGTGTCATTATAACCACCATGACAATCGTCCTACTGGGCAGTTTCAGATAGATTTGCCTCTTTTCTACCACGCACATGTATCTGTACGAAACAGCAGTACACCGCCGGGGACCACGAAAACCTTCAAGTTCATGCAGACTGCACGAACTACCGCATAGTTTCGGGATTACAGCTGATGCTAGCGCAGGGATCGACCAGACTCGGCGCACTTGTCACGCACACGTGAGAGTAGATCTCGGCGCGGGACCTGCCGCATATACCATTCCAAAACGGATGTGTAATCTTGCTCCAAGTGTACGACCTTAAAGACTAAGAGTTTAAGCTAGCACTGAAAAGCGAATAGATCAGTAGATAGTACAAGGCTGCCCTTCGGGAGGTTGGTGACCTGCATGTCGGGGGCGACGCACGAGGACGTGTCCAATGCTGTCGCGGCTGGTTTCCGTACGAACTAGCGCATGTGCCAGGAAACGCGTGCTCTCGACGTATGTATGCCTTCATGTTTGTGGGATTGTGTGAGAGCGTGTAGGCTAGCGGCTTCTTTGCCGCACATCCTACTGCTGAACCCGGCTGCTTTTTCTTCCTCTCTCTCATGAATATGCCTCGTTCCTCATGCTGTGTGGTGTGCTGTGCCGGGGTCAAAACTGGTGTCGCTGCTGAATGTGAAGGCTTTAATGGTTCAAAATGCCTCCCCACGCGATAGAGCCAGTGACGGTGATTTTATGAGTCGAGCACGCGCGTCACGGATGTCTGGCAGACCTCGGGCGTACGCGGTAATGTACCGACGACCCCCCTGCGTGCCCCTGAGAAGAAGAAAGACTATATATCCGATGATACTACAGATGAGGGGTGCCCTTCGGAGTGGGCTCAGGAGCACAGCGTCATCAAGGGGTGATACAAGATGAAAAAAAAGCTCGAGATAAAGTCGGCTGCCAGCCGTGACGTCTTCCAAGCTCGAACAATCCACACAACGGGTGAGTGTGGACTCGAAGAGCCCAGCGAACCACACCGAACCAAAACGAAACATGCAATTTACACAGTCTTCTGTACCAGAGCTGGGCTTTCGATGCACCTTTTCGCGGTGCTATCATCCACTACTGTCAGGTCCGCGAACACTCGCTGCAACAGGTGTGATCCCACCTGCCATGGGCCCTCCTGGTAGACTTGCATCGCATGCTCCAGGTAACCCGCTACGCTGTCGGCGATAGTTCCACCCGCCACCCACAAGATCTTGACGAAGCTCTCGGTTTCATCGATCGTGACAATTACGTGCTCTCCGAAAACGCTGTTGAAGAATTGTACAAATCGAGACATCTTGCCCTGGGAGCAAAAGTACGCCGGTCGCAAAGAGCCCGTGAGAGAGTTGTGACAAGATGGAAGGCACTGGAACGAGACACATCCAACCAGTCTTCAATTCGTTTGGGGGGGGGGGGGGCAAAAGGCCGATCGAATTCAATGTGGGAGAGTACATTTAGTGCAAACAACTCTTGCCACGGATCGGCTGATGGGTGCAACCCCGATACTGTTCGTCACCCCCAGCTTAATGTTGGTGAGACTGCGTCGAAGACTTTGTGACCGAACCCCAGTCCTGTAAACACGTAAACACGTTTTTGGACGGTATCACTACATACACGCCTCAGGGTTGCTTGGAAACCGCCTGCCAAGTAGGCGCAAACGCATCGGTATGACGCACTGTCGAGATTGTTGGAGGATGACTCAGAGAAGGTCGAACCCAACAGAATGCGCGTACTGCACTCACCAGTTGTGTCCTCTGGAACCTCACGCGAAGCCATCTACTCGTGGGGTCGGCGGCAGCGGCAGCGGCAGCGGCGGCGGTAGCGCTGGCGCTAGCGCTGGCGGGAGTCGCGGCGTTGCGTTCCACGCCAACGGCAGTAGCAGCCGTCGCCGTCGGCGGTGCAATACTCGGTGAGTTGGCCCCCATCCGAGCTGCTGCTGCGTCTCGTCCTGCTGCTGCCGGGTCTCCTGCTGCGTCTGCTGCTGCTGCTGCTGTCGCTGCTGTCGCTGCTGTCGCTGCTGGGGACACCGCTTCCGGCTTGAACTGCCTTTGCGATTGTCCACCGGAAGCGGATACTGCGGGCAAGGACGACGGAGAAGAATCACGGCGAGATTCGTGTCTTGCTGCAGGCGGCGGCAGCCGAGCTGTGGGCTCTCCGCTCGCAATGGAGACGGCGGACGAGGAGGAAGAAGAGGAAGAAGCTAGATTGGCAACCGCTCGCTGCGCCGTTTTCGCACTAGTTGGCGCTCTGTCCTCACCCCGCATTCTTACGCCCCCTGCCGACGCACACCCCACCGGCCTTGTAGAACCCGACGCTGCCGCCGCCGATTGCAGGGATGGAGGAACAGGAGCAGTAGGAGGAGGAGCGACCACCGCTACAGTGTCATGGGGTTTACTTGCCGCTGATTGCTCGTCTCCGGTGCAAACCGACTCGGCCGCCTTTTGCACAGACCTCAGCTCCACGAGCCCCTGCACAGACGACGGCTTCGTGGCTTCCCTCGGTTGGCGGTAAGTGTTCGTCCAACTGACACCATCTACTTTCCTACGCAATACCTGTTGGGTGGAACATGCAGGCGGCGGGCGGAGGGCGGGAAGGCGTGGGGTGGACTGGAATTGCTCATATCTGAGAAGGCGTCGTGTGCGGAAACAGTAGGTAGGTTCGTCAAGTTTCAGGGTGCCCCGCACTTATGCAACTTGCAAGTGCTCGTGTAAGGGTAACGTTCGGCTTGAAAGTGCAAGAGGTATAACATGGCGTCATACATGCAACGGGTACGCAGCGGCAACATCTTTATGCGTACGCTGGCCACGGCACGACGCGCAAACCCTCCCTAGCAAACCAAGTGGCCGTGCTGAACACGGTTTGCTTCACAAAAGTACCCCATCACCACTCACAAGAGGTGCTAGGAAAATGAAACTCAGCCAGCCAAGGCGTGGACTATCGAGGTAGAGACTTGCAAGGCAGGTACAAATCACAGTTTTGTCGGACAAGAGATTCTTCAGCGTGGCGTAGTGGTGACCTCGCCACCGATCCATGCAGTTCTACAGGTCGGCTCTTCTACTGTATAAACCACATCGACGCCCATACTGTACCCCATACAAAAATTCAAACGCACCGGACATCTGGCCTCTTGATCGTCAGGGTGGGTGTGCTGGCGCTTGCGCTTGCCGGCTTTGGAGTCGCCGAGAGCTTCATCACCGTGGTTTCCGTGTCTTTCATAAGGGTCATGGCCAGCAGCCGGGGATGCTGAGCTGTTCCTACACTCTGCCGCCGCCGCCATCGCTGCTCCCACCCCCGCCACATCATGCCCTGCTTCCGACACCATCTTTAGGTCTATTTTTTTGTTCTTGGCCATCGTATCTGAGTTGTCGACCAAGCCGGAGGAGCTTTGCTGCACTCGAGCGCTCCGGTTGTTGAGGTGGCTGTTTCGGCGCCCCACTCCTGGCGGTATAACCGGGTATCCTCCGGGTTTACAGAGATCAACTTTCCGGGCGATAAATCCCACAGGAGCTCCAATGGCGGGAACGCAATCAGCTTTCCGGGTGACAAATCCCACAGGAGCACCGACGGGGACGGAATCAGCCACCGCGGGGGTGCACAACTCGGATGCAGCACCGCGACGTTCTGGCGGTATAACCGGGTATCCTCCGGGTTCACAGAGATCAACTTTCCGGGCGATAAACCCCACAGGAGCTCCAATGGCGGGAACGGAATCAGCTTTCCGGGTGACAAATCCCGCAGGAGCACCAACGGGGACGGAATCAGCCACCGCGGGGGTGCACAACTCGGATTCAGCGCCGTGACGTTTTCCTGCGCCGCCATCGACCTTTCCGGCGAAACTGCCGTCGCGCAAGCGACCGCCTGGTTGATGCTGCGCTGGCTGCGTGCCACTACGTTGCGCACTTTGCTGCTGCTGCTGCTGCTGTCGTTGAGCAAACCGGTCCTCGTCCAAGGTGCGAGATTGGCGATGGTCTTCCTCGCGACCGAGGGATCTCACCAAGCCGCCGGGGTCCCCATTGTTGTTGTTGCTGTCGTTGCTCTTGTTGTTGTTGTAGTTGCTCTTGTTTGTGTTGTTGTTTTTTTTGTTGTTTTTGTTGTTGTTGCTGCTGTTGTTGTTGCTTTTGTTGTTGTTGTTGTTGTTATTGTTGTTGTTCTTGCTGTCGTTGTTGATGTCCAGATTCTTGTTCTTGTCCTTCTTCTTGGTCTTGTTCTTCTTCTTCTTCTTCTTGCTATTGTTGTTGCTGTTGTTCTCGGTGTTGCTGATGCCGCCACTCTCGACTGGGCTTTGCAGCTGCTGTTGCTGTTGCTGCTGGTACGAACGCTCCCCATGTCCTCGGCCTTCTACATCATCCTGACAAGTGCAGATGTAAGAGGGGGCAGGGTGAGAGCTCGTGCCAAGCGTTGGGGGTGAAACATATACAATCGCGCCGTAACCGTATAAGAGATTCCGTTTCCCGGCCGCAAACAGCGGCTCCGCCAGCATGTTCGTAGGGAAAAGCTACTGCCATCGTTCAGTGTTTCGTTTGAGCAATCATGGGCATAAGGGTCGGAGCGGACGGGCGTCATTCAATGTACACTTTCTGAGGTCTTGTCTGGTCCTCTGTGCAGCGAAAAGGGAATCAATTTTCATCGCCGTTCGCGATGGTTTTGACAACTGTCATAGCATTCTCACGATTAAATTCAACTCAAACGTTGCACCCACAAGGCATGTGCGGGTGTGTACCGCTGTCGGCCAGACACCCTCGTGAAACACCGGGGGCGCACGAAAAGATCCGGTAACACACACATTCACACACCATGTACCCCAATGCTTGCATTCGGTCGGTGCCACTTCCGAATCCGTAACTGGCACTTCGGCACATCCGGTACGACATCCATACCCAACCGTGCTCAACGCTCCTGTACTATGCTTAGTACAACCTGGCAGTTGTCTACCCAACGGAAGTGGACCTGATGGTCGTATACCGTAAAAGACGGAGTTTCCCCCCCGGAGAGGGGATCGTTTTCTTTTCTGAAACCAACCCCCCCGGTGGGAACTTGACGTACCGCGGGTTAGTTTTTTTTTTCCAACACTACCTCGGGGGGAAGCCCCCCCCCCGAGGGGTTGTGTAAAATAATGATGGTCCGCGCACCATACACACCGAGAGTGGCGAAACTGAGATGGAAAAGGTTTACGAGCAACGTTCAACAAGCAGAGGGGGGAAGGGGAAAACTCTACTACGGGGGGAAAATTCCTTCGTTTAGTAAATATTGCTCGAAGCGCAGATCTGCAAACGAATTTTAATTTTCCGTCCCATACTTTTTGTGTTCCGCGATGCAACAAAATCGACTCAGAAAATAAGGGAAATACACCCCCCCCGGGGGGAACTCGTGGGAAAACTGGTACCCCCGGGGGGAGTTTTTTTGTTGGTCGAAAACGACCTACCCCGGGGCAAAATCAAAGAAACCATGCTTCCAGGCCGAAAAGGTAATGGGGGGGGGGAAACTCTACTACGGGGGGAAAACTCCGTCGTTTACGGTAGGCTGGAAATTCCGTGACGAACGAGTGGATGTCAATTGATGGTGACGGCGCACCTGATCACGGTCAAACGGTCTGCCTCTGTGCTTGATGGGGTTTTCTTGGGCTTCCCGACCACCACGCCCTGAGCATGCCACGAACAAGCACGGGATGAAACGGCAGCGCGGTGCACAATGACAAGCAATTCTGAAGGCGTTGCAGGCTGGATGTATGTTGTTGTTGGATGTCGGCCTTGGAACAGCACATGGGGCATGGTCTCAGCCTCCTCAATCGCTACCCGATCTGCCGATTCCGACAAGGCCCCATAGAAGCACGAGATAACCATAAAAATACAAGTTTTGGAGCAATTCTGCTCCTTTCTTGCTTCAAGGAGGTTTTCCTCCACAAACTCACAGGGCTTGGAAACAGATTAACGAGCTTCGACAGGGCAGCAGCTTTGCGTCAACGGGTCCCCAGTAAAACAGGTGAACGCGGCGAAGTTGATCGCTGTTTCGTGTTCGTCGTTTTCTGGACTTGATACCGCACTACTGCCCACGGCATCTCAATTCTTATTGCCGTTTGATTCTTCACCATCAAAACGCCCTACCGGACGCCAGCTAGACTCGCGCTGATACATGTTCATAGGCCCAAGCACACGTTGCCTGCTAGGGCGTGGCATGGACAGAACCAGATCTTCGGCAAAAGTCAGGGTGTCTGTAACCATTACTCTTGGCTGCAAATTGCCCACGGTGAGTTGCCGTTTATAGTGGACATCAAACAAAAGAACAGTCGCTCTTTTCTGTAGAAAAGTGAGTGTAACAAGTTGAGATCCTCCCCCCTACCGAGGTGTGTAACCGAAAACAAACAAAAATATTGATAACAGGGTGTGAAAATTTCCTGGTTGAGGCAGTGGGTGTTTGTGTCCCGTGGGGCCTTGTTTCTCGTTTCTTCGGCGCCTGTTTTGAGGCCATAACACCAGAACCGAACCAATTTACAATTCACAAACCCCCGCTTCCAGTGCAAGACCTCAATGGGTCCATTTAAAGGACTCTCGACTCAACTCGTGCTCAGCTTATCTACATACATGTACTCTACCGACGGTAGATAGATAGAGAGGGGGAGAGGGAGGGGGAGGGAGGGAGGGAGAGAGAGAGATTGAAGGGGAGAGAGACAAAGAGAGAGAGAGAGAGAGAGAGAGAGAGAGAGAGAGAGAGAGAGAGAGAGAGAGAGAGAGAGAGAGAGGGAAAGAGAGGGGGGGAGGGAGAGGGAGAGAAACAGAGAGACACGAGAGGGGGAGACACGCACAGAATACTTGACGTGTAGAGACATCGAAAGAGGGGTATCTATATCACGCGCATCACACCCACGCTGTCATTTGTTTCAGATGATGCGATATGCTTGTTGCGCTGCCTATGGATGACAGGGAGAAAGAGAGAGAGACCAACTGTCTCGAAGCTGATGTACAGATGAGAGTGATATGGGTATGTGTCTCGGCGTATTGAGTACATGAGAGAGAGAGAGAGAGAGCCCTCACCACATCACACAACCACGGACTATGCGATGCTGCGCCGCACCAGGAACCGTCTTTGCAAACCCATGTGTGAGTGCCCCGGTGCTCTGTTTCCGCCCTGCTCGTGCATGATTCAGGCACAAATAACTGAGAGCTCGACACTCGACCCAGGACGCGTGCGCGTTTGGATCACCGTCACCCCCTGCCTCTGCATTTATTTCCCCTCCGCTCACAACAACGATATGGCATGCTGCAGTTGCATGTTTCCAATACCAAAGAAAAGCAAAAGGCCACAAGTCTCGGTACCTACAACTTTTGATCCGCGTAGTTATTGAACCGACAATGCAAAAATACGAAAAAAACATGAGGGAGCCCTGTGGGGTGGCGGCGAAGACTAAAATCGACTGGAAGGCGCCGGCAAGCACCCCACTCGGGAGGTCACCTTGTTTGTCCTGTCCGCCCGGGTGTTGACGGGGAATGTCTTGGTCTAGCGTAGCGCTCCCGCAGTTGTCCGGCGGCCGTCCCCGCTCGTGTTCGCCTTCCTCGGTCGCCGCCGAGGCAGCTGCGGCCTTTTCCCTGACGGGTAGCGGGGTCAAGAGGGTACGCCACGGCGGTGGTAGCGTAAGGGAAGCATGGAGTGTGGGTTCCTCTGAGTCCTGACAACGATGTTCTTGTGGGGTGGCGGTGTGAACATCTTGATACGAACAGCAGCGGCAGCAACGACAACAACCCTTTTTGGGCCGGACCAAGACTCGTGTCGGGGAACGAAGAGTAAACAAGAGTGAACAGTTCCTATGCCCCCCTGCGTCGAGAAACCTATCAAGCGTCGCCTTCGACTAATACTCATACTTTGGGTGCCTTCATACTTTGGGTGCCTTCTACCTTCACGCCGGAACTCCTGTGACGTCCTCCAATAACAGGGCCTGGTGTTGAATTAGGGTTCAATACATGCACAACCTCATGCCCTACATGGTCACTATTGACTTGGAGCCTCGACGTGAAACAAGCTGTTCCGAACAACACACCCGCTACGTGAACCTTTAAAACCCTGCTCAAGATACACACACAGCTGTGTGATACACACGGTGGCTACCAAACTGACATGTTACGTCTGATACACCAACAGGTAGCCATTTCTGAATGGTGCACGTCAACGTATGTGTGAGACTACTGTTGTATACAGATTCTAAATGTTTCTTTCAAGTTCGTTGAGGTTCGCTGGGCTCTTCGACTCTAGAACACGTCAGCTGCGTGAGCTGTTGAGCTTGCGAAATGTCACACCACAGCTGTGGGTTGGTCCTGCTGCCTGCGGCCTTTATTCTCATGTTTCGTCACCCCTCGATGACACTGTGCTCTCATGAGCGCACGCCGGAGGGATCACTTGTACAATCTCATCGATGCATGGCGAATTTGTTATCCTGAACTTGAACCCATGGGGAAAGAGGAACGTGTTTTGTGCTTCTTCTTTAACAAAGAACAAATGGACTCTAAAATACTGGTATGTAGGATCGATTCCTACTTCTGAATGCGAGACTGCGGGGGGAAGTTTCAAGCCTAAGCAAAAAGTCTATCCATCATAGAGGGGAAACACGGGAGGTGCCCCTTCGTCGTAACGGCTTGCGGCCTGATTGTTTTACAGCAGCTTGAAGGTATGGAACGGATGGCTTTGTCTTTGAATCTTGTGAGAAGACACTGGTTCCGCAGGCCGTGTTTTATAGGCAGAACAAAAAAATTATTTCCGAGTGGGACTGACTTCGAATCTCGGCACGGCTGAAAATGGGGCCACGTCCCCGGAG